GATATTGGGAGGTGTTTAGCCAAATCCTGATCATTCTCCAGCTGGAAGTTGATCCAGTCCACAAAAGCAAGTTTCTCCTCTTCTGCAAATGAGTGGGTAGTGCCTTTATAAGGGAGAGAGAAAGGGGGGGGGGAAGGAGGGAAAGAGAAAGAGAGAGAGAGAGAGGAATTTTAAGTCAATACATAGTACACACGTACAGGTATGCATCTTATATTAACACATCAGACTTCAACAGTTTCACTTGTAAACCATACAACTACTGCAAACAAGACAAAGTGAGGAATACATTTCCTCTTGCCACTTCCATTTTAGTTATCAAGATCAACAAGGGCCACATTTGCTTCCAGATTGACCAAATAAGGTAAACCATTAACTTACCATGCACTGTTGACCTCAGACACATTGTATATAAACATGGGTGTGGTCATACCTTCAGCAGAAGCTTCAGAAAGGCCTCCAACTTGAACTAGTTTTTTGGCTTTGTCAGCAGTTTTCTGTAAACCATAGGTCTTCTTTTCAGCAGTGACTTTAGCATACATCTAATGGAGGGAGAGGAGAGAGAGAGTGAGTAAAACAAGTGAGAATTCCACTATTAATAAGATAGTTTATTTTAAGGATTTAATTATAATAATTACCAAAAATGGGAAAAAGCTATTTATACAACTATATCCACTGTTGGGGCATTGAAGTATGAATACAGCTGGAAGTTTGAGGCCAGCTGGTGGTGACTGATGTATAATGTACATGTACATGTAAGGATTAACCCTGTAATAGAGCAGCTGCTCTTGTATGGTCTACATGTACCTCATATTCATATAAGGATAATAGAAATTATAATAAATTGATAATAACAATTATAATAACTTGATAAAACTACACAAACACAAACACAATTAGACTCTCTTCCTCTCCCTCTCTTTAACACACACGCACGCACGCACGTACACACACACACACACGCTCTCTCTCTCTCTCTAGGATGGAGTCCTTACATTTAAATCTCTAGAGAGGTTAAGGTATGCATTCCTCAAATAACAAACTAGGGGAACATGTTGTACTAGCTTCAATAGGAAACATTTCCAACTTGGACACTTTTCAAACTTTCAATGCAAAACTGCTAAACTTTCCTCATAACAATCATGCCAGCTGCTTCTCCTCCCTCCCTCCACCTTCCCCCCCTCTCTCCCTCAACAATAAACTTTAGACTCTGTGTACATTAAATATAATGTCCCATAAACATAAACAAAAACGACAAGAGTAAATATGAGAAATATTTGAGTATCATACACATGGTACTGGTACTCTATAAATAAAATAAACATCTGGACAGTGTACCTTACAAAAGTAAATATTAATAATAAACAAGTGACATAATAGCATAACAAACAAGAGGGTACAGTTAAGACAGCTGCAACAGACAATGGCAAACAAAACTTGTTAACATCATCAACTGAAGATAAAAGAATGAGAGAGACTCCAATTGCAACACACACACACTCCTCGTTAACACATCAACGGTGACATACACTCACTCCCTCTTACTTCCACAAACTCGTTAAACTCGATGGTTCCATTTTCATCGATGTCGACCTCTCTGATCATATCCCTGATCTTGTATCCAGGGGTAGTCTCGCCCAAGGCCTTGAGGACTTCAGCAATCTCAGAGCATGTTATGTGTCCATTGCCATCAGCATCAAACTGGAGAAAAAGAGAGCATAATATTATTGCTATTAATATAAAATAACATTATTTTTATATTATTTGATTTTTACTGCTGTTTCTGCAAGATGATGAGTACTACTATTACCTGATCAAATTGAGCGCGTATCTCTTCCAACTTCTCGCTTGAAAACTTGCTAGCCATTTTTAAGCTGTGTTATTCCAAACAGCAGGTAAGGAGCGAGTGGAGCAAGAGGAACAGCAAATCAGCAACCCTTCTGTACTACCCTATTTGGATACTAGCAAAGGGCGGGGCTAAGTTGTGCGCATGCGCAAAGATCTCCGTGTATCAATTAGTAAAATTAGCCAATTTTAATTATTCATGTTATGTTGCAGACAAAACAAAGGTGTGGCTCGCGCTCATCTCTAGCTAGTCTAGTTTAGTTTTTACATCCTCTTCTCCTGCACCTACAACAACTAATAATGGTAAGATACTATTTCTTAAAAATTGTTTAGCTAAATAACTAGCTCCACCCATTGCACATTTGCAGCTATAGTTTTTCCATTTATGTTTCACTTTGTTATTTCTAGCAAGTTGCTAGGGAATTAGCTGATTTTAGTCAAACTGATTTAGTAGAAGGACTACCGCAGCATCATAGACTGAGAGATGTAAGAAAAGAAAGAAAGAATGGGAATAAAGAGAGGAACATCATGTTTTTATAATTTTTTAGGGACCAGGAGGGATAGGAGCTCAAACTGGAGCTCTGACTCCAAAACGAACTAAAAAGAAAAAGAAGAAGAAGCAGCCGCAAAGTAATCATTATCATAATTTATAATTCATTATTGATTGATCTAAGGGGAAGACTCGGAAGATGATGAAAGAGGAGGGGGAGCTGGAGTGAGACGACAGCATAGTCTTAGAGAAATGTTTCCATCGACAAGTAGAAACTTTAAATTGGAGGTATTATTATAATTATCATTATTATTATTATTACTATTATCATCATTATTATTATTATTATTATTATTATCATTATTATTATTATTATTATTATTATTATTATTATTATTGCTGTAGCATGTAGCATCAATTGTGTTTCAAGAAAAGATAAAATCTCAAGAGAAACTAGCTAGAAAGCTCTCCCTGCTATCAGCAAAACAGCGACTATCAAGCCGTCAAGTGTTCTTCATACTAACAGATAAAGAGATACGTGTCAAAGAAGCCAATACCACTGTGAGTGTATAATTAGAAACAATGCAATTATTTTTCCTTCCTATAATTAGGATCTATTAATGATGCTACCGTTCGCCAGTATTATATTCTGTGCTCACTTCCATTTGTCAGGAGAACTCTCAAACATTTTGAGTCTTTTTGTTCGTAACGTCACAGAGGGCGGAGACTATCAGGCTCACTTCTTTAAATGTGCTAATACTCCTGTAAGAAATAATGTTTATGATTATAATAATTTTATTTATGTACTAAATAGGCACCTGCTATTGCTGAATTGATAAACGTTGCAATGACAAATGCTAAACAACCAAGCAGACGCACATCATACAGAGTAATCTTATTATTATTATTATTATTATTATTATTGTAATTAAATCCTGTCTTTTTCCTCTTTTAGAATGACGATCATGATGAGCTGAACCCAATGTCCCACTCCATGACGCGAGACATGATTGATGGGGATAACTGGGGCATTGGCTCACCCCCTCGGTCTCCCACTGGCCCCACCATTCAGCCACTGCGAACTATGTCGTTAACCAACCAGTCGCCTAACGCTTTCATACAAATGAGAGGACCTACAGGACATGGAGGAGGAGGAGGAGGAGGAGGAAGTAATCCTGGGGTAGTTGTGTCTCACATGACTTCAAGCACTGATCAGTTGGCAAGGAGAGATGTGAGCAGTAGTCCAGCAATATCAGCTGATATTGGGAGGCAGTTAAGACCATCTTCTGCTGGGAGCAATTCTGGTAAGGAAGAAGTGCATTATTATTATTATTATTATTATTATTATTTTAGCTTCATCTCCAAACCAATCTGGTAATGCTCACTTGCTTCACCCACGTACGGCCCAGTTGCAGCACGAGGGGATGAACCCGTCCCCACGTACTGCTAGAAGACTAGGGGAAATGGTTGCAAAGACAACCAATCAGTACACAGAGTCTGTTCTCTCTCGGTCTGCCGGGGGAGAGAGTAGGAGCAGCAGCGATATTAGGAAGACTATGAAAGCTTCTAAAATACAGCACGATGTGGTAAGGAGATGCATGTATGCCTACATGCATGCATATGATTAATGAGACTGACAGCAGCCCTAAAGGGAATTAGGAGTCTTTGTGTGTTCTCTGATAAACAGGTCTAAGGATATTGATAGTCTTTATAATGATATTGATGGTCTTTATAATGATATTCATGGGCTACTCTTTGCTTGGATGTTTGTTCTTTTTTCTCATCATGAATATCAAGAACATAACTTGGCATCAATAAACAACCTTATTTATTGTTCATTATCTTATTAATATTAGGATTTATTAAACCACACAATTGATGACCTGGAGCAATTCATGCGACTATTGTATGAAGTTTCTTCAGCAAAAAAAGAATTGGACAAGAAATTGTCAAAGTCACCAAAAAAGAAGAAAAACGATAGTAAAAATTTATTATTAAATGTTGTTATTATTATTATTATTATTATTATTATTATTATTATTATTATTATTATCCAATTAGGTGCATTGGTAGCATTGAGACAGAGGGCCCAGCTCCCTCCCGATGCTGAATTCATTTTAGCTTATCAAAAAGTAAAGTTTGCCCTCAACTTGATAGCAAAGCTTGGACACCATCTTCAGAACCCACCAGCTGACAAACTAGCTGAGGGATTCTTTCAGTACCTTAGAGAGTTTACCAAGAAGAACAAGGGGTAAGAGAAAAAAAAGAGAAAATTAATTTACATTGGATAGTACACAGCATTTTTTACTTATTGTGCTGTCCTGTGCATATAAATGTACGTGCATAATAAAGTTGGACCCAATTCTGAACACTGTTATTAATAATATCCTTTTCTTTTTCTCTAGTATTAGCTTAGCGTCATCAGTTCAGATTCCGCTCCTGGAAAAAAGAACCATTAATTTCCTGATGAAAGTACTAACAGCCAGAGACCAGGGACTCTGGGGAGAGCTCGGAGGCAACTGGAAAATACCAAAGTAACGAAATAAAATAAAGAAGAACATTCATTTGTTATTAATAGGGAGCAATGGCCAGGAGCTGTCGAAGAGTACGAGATTATCTTTTATGACGGGTGCACCTTCGGTCGTTTGCATAACTTGAGTGACCGTCCGTCCAATTTCCCAACACTGGATACCCTCCCTCGCTCCCAGTGGCCCCCTAATTACTCTGACGCTTACGACAGCAAAGAGATGAGTGGGTCACACTTGAGGATCAATCACAATGTAGAGGGAGCTGTCGCTAACACTGCTCAAATGATTGCCAGTGGCCATTCTGTACCACCTAATATGGGGATGACTTGGGAAGCACAGCATCCTACTGTGAGATTATCATTTTGATTTTATCATCAATTTTTATCATGCATTCCATAATAGGATTAATACTTTAATATTATTGTTACTATTATTGTTGTTATTATTGTTATTATTATTATTGTTATTATTATTATTGTTATTATAGTCTCCACCACCGAATGCCATACCCCAGTCTGTGTATCATTCTTCTACTCATTCTCTGACCTCCAATGGATCCGGTGCTGGAGGTAAAAGGTACCTTAAGGTGATTCAAAACTATAACGCGGCCGGTCTTGATGAGTTGAACTTGAGGAGAAGTGAGAGGGTGGAGATATTGAATGATACTGGGCCTCGCTGGTTGGTTAAGAATAGAATGGGAGAGCAAGGATATGTACCACTACAGCTACTGGAGGGAGCCACAATCAGAGGTATAACATTAATGATAATGATTTAATTATAATTATGATTTATAGATCAGCAAAGCAGTACAGGATTTCCAAGGGAAGCATGGGACAGAGAAGTACAATATTATTTTTAATTATTATTGAGCTGTTATTATCAGTAATACTGTTACTATTATTAGTTACTGTTACTATTATTAGTTACTATTCTTATTGTTGTCATTTATAGACATACCTCAGTGAACCTACTAGTATGCAACAAAGATTAGAAACAGTACAGGAATTATCAGAATCTCGTCCATCCACTTTTGGCCGTACATCAGGTCCTCCCCCTGTCCCTCCAGCTGGGGTACCTCCCCCTCCTCCTCCTCCTCCCCCTGGACCCCCTCCTCCTTCAACGGTATGATTATACATGTATTGTCATGGTAACGTTAGATGTATTCTCTTATAGACTCTGCCTCCCCCTGGAGTACCACCACCTCCTCCTCCCCCTCCTCCCCCTGGAGTACCCCCTCCTCCTCCTCCCCCTGGAGTTCCTCCTCCTCCACCACCTCCCCCTCCCCCTCCTGGTGCCCCTCCTCCTCCCCCTCCTCCCCCCGGAGGTGCTTCAGCAGGTCCTCCTCCTCCTCCAGCGCGTATGTTACTAAGACCCTATTATCACATTATCATATCCTCAATTCATAGCTCCTACAAAGAGACTAACATTGCAGGAACAAATTGCACTCTCTAAGCAAAAACTAGCAAACAAAAGTAATTACTAGCAATATAAACTATAATTATCTGTTGTTGTTAATGTTGTTAGCCGGTGAAGGTGGTGGGAGTGGTCCAGCTCCAAAGCCGCCAGCTGGAGGTGGAGCCAGCAATGAACCTGTTGACATTGTAGCAGCACTCAAGCAAAGAAAACCGCTTCGTAAAACATCAACAGCTGTGTCTTTGGAAAGTGAGAAAATGTAATGTTTTTTTCACCAATTAATTTCTTAATAAATGCAGTTGAGAAAACAACTGAAAATCCACCAAATGAGCTTCAGTCACGACTAGCAAATAGGAAACAAACTATTGGAGAAGGTCAGTATTATTATTTAATTTAGCAATATTTTTTTATTGTTATTATTTCAGGAGATAAGGAATATTATTTGTTGCCATGGGATGGAAAATTAGGTGATGTCAATGCCTGGCTAGAGCACCATGGATATGGAAGGTAAATAAAATCAATAATTATTATGCATGTATGATGCATGCTCATAATAAGCAGCTTTGAAAATTTGTAAAAAATCTAAATTTGATTGGAATCAGCTCAAATTTTTTATACGACATAAGAACATGCATATGTATCAAAAAAATATATAAAAATGGAAAATTCTTTCCTAGTCAATTTTGTCAAAAATTGGTCCGAGACCATGTACTATAGTACAGGGACTTTGACCTGATTTTGGAGTAACTTTACAAATTTGTAAAAAATCCAAATTTGATCGGAATCAGCTCAAACTTTTTACACAACATAAGAACATGTATATGTATCAGAAAACAATATAAAAATGAAAAATTCTTTCCTAGTCAATTTCGTCAAAAATCTGTCCGAGACCATGTACTATATATAGTACAGGGACTTTGACCTGATTTTGGAGTAACTTTGAAAATTTGTAAAAAATTCAAATTTGATTGGAATCAGCTCAAACTTTTTACACAACATAAAAACATATATTTGTATCAGAAAAATAGTTTTAAAAAGAAAATTCTCTCTTTTTTATTTTTGGCAAAATTTGACCAAACACCCTTGTACTATAATAATTATTATTATTGTTATTACAGTCAGGTTGGTGTATTGGTTGTGAGGAGTGCTGAAGAACTGTATAAAATGGATAAAGATGAGCTGAGAGATATATGTGGGGGCAGAGATGGAGTCCGCCTTTTCAGCCAGCTACAAAAAGACAGAGCAGAAGTAAGAGAAATTTATTAATCAGTCACTTAAAAAATTAATGCATTTAGCTTAGCTATTACAATTATTATTATTATTACTGTCATTGTTTTTAGGCAGCTAAAAGAGCAGGATCTTCTGACAGTCAAAGCGAGCTGCAGGTAAGCATGAACTGGTCATATTAATTGATTTACAAGAATATCATTTACAGAGACGACTTGGTCAAAGGAAGTCAAAAACTGACACAATAATGAAAGCAGCCTCTGCATTTAAGAGTGGAACACGCAAAGGACTATCTAAAATAGAGGAAGATGATGAAGATGAAGTAAAAAACCAAACGAGAGATTAAATGCTAATATTTATTTTATAGGAATTGGCAAATATACCACAGTGGAAGAAAACGTTGTTGAAAAAGCAAAGGAAGAAAGAAGAGCGCTCACCGTCACCCGAGAGGAGGAGAGGGGGGAGGAAAGATAAGAAGAGTAGTGGTGGACGAAGCAGCAGGCGTCAAGACTCCGAGTCTGACGATGAAAGAGATAAAAAGAAGAGACACGGGAGGCGCTCTCGTCGTCAAGATGATGAAAGCGAGGAAGAGGAAAAAGGAAAGAAGAAAGATAAGAATAAGAAGAAGTCTCGTGACTCGAGTAATGAGAGGAAGGGTAGGAAAGGAAAGAAAAAGGATAAATACGAGTCTGAGTCGGACGAGAGCCCAAAGAGAAAAGGAAAGTCAAAGAAAGATGATAAAAAGAAAGAGAAAGACAAAGGAAGAAAGAAAAAAGGTCCTACTAATGTTGATGATTCTTTTGATTCGTCGCAAAGCGAAAGTGAAAGTTATTCTGATAGCGAAAGTGATTCCTCTGACTCGGAGAGTGAAGAGAAGAAGAGGCCAACAGGAGCTGGTCTCTCTGGAGCAGCCTGGGCTCTGGGTGAAGGAGACATGGATAATCTAGACACAAGAATTAGAGAGCAGCAGCTTCAAATACAACAAGAGCTCTCAAAACTGAACAGACTCCAGAGAGAGATTGGACTAAAGGCACTGCCTTCCTTACAACAAAAGGTGCTCCAGGCCGATCTAACTAAACTGCAAAACCTTCAAACACGTCTTAAAGACTCTCCGGATAATCGTGAACTACAAGTACAGCTGGTAGGACAGCAGATGATGCTCACTGAGCACTTGTTAGAGATACAGGAGTCACTCTCTCATGCTTTACCTGATGTAGAGGACCAGTTGGGACAGATGAGTAGCAACAGGATGAAGCATAGTGCATCAAATACCAGCATTGGAGCTAGTGGACAGCAACAGTATGTCCAACAGCCACAACAGCCAGTCATTCAACAGCAACAACCAGCCATTCAACAACCAGTCATTCAACAGCCACCAGTGATCCAGCAACAGCCTGTAATCCAGCAACAGCCTGTGATCCAGCAGCAACCATTCTATCAGCAGCCAGTAGTGCAGCAGCCTCCAATGCTACCATATCAAGGCCTATCCATGAGTGGGTATGACCCAATGATGAACATGATGCAGCAGCAGATGATGGCTGCTACAATGAGGCAGACACAAGATATGTTAGCTGAGCACCAGAGGCAGCAGATGCTAGCTGCTGAGAGACGTAGGCAGCAGTTAATGTTTGGAGCTGCTGCTGGCCTTGGAGGCTCCTTCCTAACTCCATCCATACCACCATTACTCTAAGTAACAATGCATACACACACACACACACATATATATTATATATTAGGAACTTGTTATTATTAGCTATTGTTGTTTGTTCTATTAGAGTCTAAGGCAATGTATTATCATTGTTCATATTGTTGTTGTTGTTGTTGATGTTCTTGTTGTTGTTGTTGTTGATGTTCTTGTTCTTGTTGTTGTTGATGTTCTTGTTCTTGTTGTTATTATTATTTTTGCTTTTATTGCTTTTTAAAGTAAATTAAATTTATATATTTGCAGACTTATCATTGTTGTTGTTGTTGTTATTGCAATTATTGGTCTTTTAAAAATAATTATGCTTCTTAAAAAATATAAAGAATAAATACACAGCTACAATATGAGTGATGGGGCAGAGTTGCTTCAACATGTGAAGTGACTATAATGAGCTAATCAATCAGCTTGAGACAAGAATCACACCAAGGCAGTCGTAACAATCACTGTATGAAGAAGACAATTTCTTAAAGTAGAAGATAAAAAGACACTGACTATAGAAGAGGATGTTCCAGTGGTTAGTCATTCTTGAGCATTACCAGTTGGAGTATGATTCAGAGCTTAATGTGGGATACCTCAAAGATGATTGTTTTTACTTTATTTTTTTTACATGATCCCTTTATTTTGTATTTTGCACCATACTTAGACCTAATCTATTTATTAAAGTTAAATAACTAACTATAGATCTAACTCTGATCACGTGCTCAGCATGCATGCCATGCCTGCAAGGTTATCATTTTCCACGTGTATCAATCATGAGTCATTGAGTCAAGCTCTACAGACAGAGAATGGCTGCTGAGATTCCTGAAGTGAGAGAAGCCAGGCTGGCTAGAAGAAGACTAGTAGAGCTCGTAGAGACGCATTTCAGGAGATAGTCTGGGGCGTGTCCAGACTAGTCAGGAGCTAGTAAGCCAGGGCTCAATCAAGAAGAACTAAAGTGAGACTCCTGCTGAGAGAATAACATTTTAAACTCAGGCTCACCCCCAAAATGTCCTACATTACTCCTAGTCACTGAATCATTATCATAATAAAACTGAGGACAATAACTATGGCACTTACAAATATTTACAAAATTAAAGTCAAAAACAGAACCAAAATTACTCCTAGCAAGAGTGGATAAGGAGGAGGGGAGAGTGTCTAACTGCCCTATGCTGCTAGTGATATGTGCGCGTAGAAGTCTTTCACAGTTTGTTTAGCACCTTCTTTGACCTGTTTAAACATCAACAGCCATGATAGTAAATGGGTGTGTTTTTAATAACCTATATGGTGCACCCACCCACACGTGTAGTCACGATGTTTCAAGAGGAAGAGTCAGAACTACAGCACAATCCAGATTGAGAGCATCTAATCTTGATGAGCGCCATGCCACTACACCTAAGGGCCCTAAAGCATCAAGAAAGAGGACATGGAGCCAAGAGTCAGAAGCCTCTGCTCCAGTGAACTCAGATCTGTAATACTTCGTTTTTAAGATCAACAGCAGTTAACAGCCCGTCTCAAAAGTACATGTACCACATATTCTTTCACTTCTATTATTATCCTTACTCTTGATGTTGTGGGTCCCAAGGGACCAGACTAAAGGAGGATGATCATTGATCAAGAGCTTTTCATGTGTCAATAACAAACATGGTTTGTGTGCTTGGAAACTACAAATCTCTTCAGAGTGGTACAAAGTGACTGGTACAACAAGGTGAGGTCAAATTCTGCTTCCAAGGTCTCTGGTCCAGGCTCTTGCTGCTCAGTTCAGCAGCCATTTTTATATTACAGTTAACTTAAGTACACGCCCAACTTTGGCTTCAGTGCAGTTATCACTTATTGTGCTAAATAAGGTATGCGGGAATGTACAAATAATAACCATGAAACTTCTATGCGCACATATCACTAGCAGCATAGGGCAGTTAGACACTCTCCCCTCCTCCTTATCCACTCTTGCTCCTAGTCACTGAATCTTTATCATAATAAAACTGCAGACAATAACTATGGCACTTACAAATATTTACAAAATTAAAGTCAAGAACACAACTAAAATTACTCCTAGTCACTGAATTATTATCATAATAAACTGCAGACAATAACTATGGCACGTTCACGAATATTTACAAAATTAAAGTCAAGAACAGAACCATGTGAGATCAAACTGTTATATTTCTATTGATGTTGAACTATAGCCATGGCCTTATCTTTTTATGCAATCTGTACACTTAGTTGGAAGTAACCTGTATGCTTACTTTGAAGCAAAGACACTAGCTGGTACTGTATCATACCGCCGTCTTCATAACACAATTTCCTCTAAATAAAAGAATGTAAAGGTCATTTCTTGAATTCAATCTCATCGTTTTTGGTCCCTACCTTCCTTTACTCTTTGCCTGTACTGGTACTGTATCATACTGCCGTCTTCATAACACAATTTCCTCTGAAATAAAAGAATGTAAAGATCATTTCTTCAATTCAATCTCATCATCTCATCGTTTTTGGTCCCTACCTTCCTTTACTCTTTGCCTGATACTGGTACTGTATCATACTGCCGTCTTCATAACACAATTTCCTCTAAAATAAAACAATGTAAAGGTCATTTCTTCAATTCAATCTCATCATCTCATCGTTTTTGGTCCCTACCTTCCTTTACTCTTTGCCTGATACTGGTACTGTATCATACTGCCGTCTTCGTAACACAATTTCCTCTGAAATAAAACAATGTAAAGGTCATTTCTTCAATTCAATCTCATCATCTCATCGTTTTTGGTCCCTACCTTCCTTTACTCTTTGCCTGACACTGGTACTGTATCATACCGCCGTCTTCGTAACACAACTTCCTCTGAAATAAAACAATGTAAAGGTCATTTCTTCAATCTCATCGTTTTTGGTCCTATATACACTCTCTACATGAAAAAAAAGACACCATTCTCCAATAGAACATGTGTTTCAATTCAAATACTTGGGACTACATTTTACATGCAATCTTTCATGGAATCTTCATATCTCTTCAGTAAAAAGAAGGCCCGTAAAGTAATAGGACTTATCTATCGTCACTTTTATTGTAACTCATCTTTCTCAACTCTCCTTCGCCTTTATGTAACTCTAATCCGTCTTATTCTAGAATATGCTGCTGTTGTTTGGGATCCAATTTCCCCTTCTGTCTCTTCATCCATTGAAGGAGTCCAATATTTTGCATTAAAAATGGTTTCTAAATCTTGGTCTTCATCATATAGTGACCTTTTGTCCAAATTTTCTCTTATTACTTTAGCACAACGTCACTTAGGATTCAAACTTATCACTTTGTTTAAAATTAAAGAAAATATGCTTTTCTCACCATCTCATCCTCTAATTCAATCTACTCCTCTTTACTCTCTCCGCTCAAATTATTGCATACATTGTTTCTGGATTTCAGTTGGACAAACTTGAGAATGCTGTATGCTGGCTGACACTGGACTTTATGCACATGTTCTTGCAATTATTGTATTAATTTTGTTTTTTTTAAATAGTTATGCTTCTTAAATATAAAAAATAAATATACAGCTACAATATAAGTGATGGGGCACATTTGTCTCAAGTATACATGTGCATGTTATGTATGTCTATATATGCATGAGAAAAGAGAGCTTGGAGGAGCTAAGAAAAGAAAGAACAAGGAAAAGTTGTAGAAAACTAATTGTAAACATTTGAGGTTGAGGCGCTGGATTTAGCAACATCTCCATAGTCCTCATCAACATTAAGAGCTGGCAGACTGCTAGCTGGTTTTAAATGATCTTCTCCAACTCTTAAAAGATTAGCCCTACCTCCAACAAAAGGACTCGACTTTCGTCTAATGTCTTGAAGTTTCTTTTCAGAGTCAGCAATGTTATAAGAGTAGCTTGAGGGCATGTCATCTATTAGTGTCTCCTTTCCTTCATCATCTTCATCTTCATCTTCATTTTTGGAGTCACTTTGAACTATAATAATAGCATGCTTCTTCTTGGGAGCTTCTACTTGTACAGCAGACTCTTCTTGCTCAGCAGGGACAGGAGAGAGAGGAGGAGGAGGAGGAGTAGAACTCTCTTCATCTTTCATGGCCTCAGTTGGAGTATCTTCATCAGTAGTGGCTGGTATTGGAACAGGTACTCTATCTTCCTTTTCTTTTTCTTTGTAAGCTTCTTCTACTAGCTTGGCTTCAAGTAGTGCCTGATCTATTGCTCTTTGCAATTCATCTCCTTCAACAGTAGTGGCTGTAGCCTCTTCATCTTTACTGTCTGCACTCTCTCCTTTAGGTTGATCATCTTCTGTTGGGATGGTTGCTTCTTTTGTGGTTTCCTCTCCTTTAGGTATTTCTGGTACTTCTGAAGTATTCTCAGGTGCTTCGGGAGGTATTTGAGCAGCAGGAACATCCTCTGAACTAGTTTCAACTGCAGCTGATTCTTCTTTTACTATAATATCAGCCTGAGGAGTATCCAATGCAGTATCAATATCAGTTATTGTAGTAGGATCAGCATCAGTAGGATCGGCATCAGTTTGATCAGCATCAGTTTGATCAACATCAGTTTGATCAGCATCAGTTTGATCAGCATCAGTTTGATTAGCATCAGTTTGATCAGCATCAGTTTGAGCAGCATCTGTTTGAGCAGCATCAGTTTGATTAGCATCAGTTTGATCAGCATCAGTTTGATCAGCATCAGTTTGATCAGCATCAGTTTGAGCAGCATCAGTTTGAGCAGCATCAGCATCAGTAGGTTCAGCTTGATCAGCATCAGTAGGATCAGTATCAGCAGATTCAGTGTGATCAGTAGGTTCAGTTTGATCAGCAGTAGGTGCCTGTGTATCATCAGTTGACATCATTTGTTTAATAAATTCATCTTCACTGATATCATCAAGTCCTCCTTCAGGGGGCCCAATAACTTCATTATTTTCATCAACTAATGTGATGGTTGGTATTTCTTCGCCCTCTAATGGTATTTCATCACTAGTAGAGCTCTTGACATCATCTGAAGGCTCTATCTCACCTGAAGGACTGGGCTCTACATCAATGACATAAGTGGTAGTCTCATCAGTAACAGATAAAGGAGGAGGAATCGTTTCCAAAACAACTAGTGGAGGAACTGTTTCCATGTCAACTGGTGGAGGAACTGCTTCCATGTCAACTGGTGGAGGAACTGCTTCCATGTCAATTGGTGGGGGAAGTGTTTCCGTGACAGCTTCTATATCACCTTCATTACTCTCAGTAGGAGAAGAAACCTCAGTTTCCTCTATTTGATTAATTACAGTTGTATCATCAGAGAAGGTAACTGCTTTCTCTTCTTTCTCTATTAAAGGAGCTTCATCATCAACCCTCTCCTCTTCACCCTCCTCCTTCTCAACGACCTTCTCTTCATCGACATTCTCCTTCTCTTCACTCTCCTTCTCCTTTTGACTGGCACTCTCTACTTCCTTCACTTCCTCTTCAATCTTTTCATCTGATGGTACAGCATACAATGGTACAGTATCGCTGTCAATAGGCTCGTCATCAATGCTCCTCTCCAAATCCGATAACTCATCAATGTTGCTCAATCCCGTCATCTCAGTCTTCATTATGGAGTGCTCACTAGTAGACCCAGTCATCACTCTCATTTCCTGACTGTCCGGTGCCATGTAGAGTGGATTGTCCGAGTATTTCTTAGAGGATTTTCTTCCTCCTGATTTATTGTGCGATCCTCCTACACCAGCTCTTCTCGGTATAAACTTAAACACAACTTTGTCCTTTTCTGATTTTTTCTTCTTATTAGCTGATCGACGTCGACTGACCAATGCAATAATAAGGATAGCAATAACACATAGTACTACAAAAATTAATAATAGCAATAATAACAATAATAACAATAATAATAATGTATAATAGCTTACTCAGCAGTGCTAGTGTTGAGCCTCCAGCAACACTTGCCACAAATATGACCTATTTTGAAAAACAATTATGTAATGTGGATATATTTTTAATTTTGATAAAAAAGACAAGACTTACATCAAACTCTGCATCATCAGTTGGAGTAGTTGTCCCTCCTGGCGTTGTTTCTAATAATGATAATAATAATAATAATAATAATAATAATAATAATAATAATAATAATAATAATAATAATAATAGAATAGTTTAGTTACTTAATATCTTACCAGGACAGTATTGCAAACTATCAGTATTGTTATTGCACAATAGACAGCTAGTGCTTCCATACAGAGGCTGGTAATAGCCAGTTGGACACGGAGTGCATGGAGACAAACCATCAACTGAATAGTAATGAGGTTGACATAAAGCTAAAAGAGGTAGAGAAAGAAAGAGGTACAAATTAGAAAGGATTATTTGACAATGCCTGCAGAAAAATTATTGGAAGAAATTTTAAAAGCATATGTGAAAGGATGTATAATTTCCAGGCATTAATTACATGTCACTACCTTTGCACTCATCACTAGATGTTGACCCAGTTCCTTCAGTTGAATACAAGGGATCACAGGATATACATCCAGTTGATCCAGTGCTTGGCTGGTAGTATCCGACTGGACATGGAGTGCATAATGATAAATAGTCCTTTATGTATGTCCCTGGTTTAATATAGCGATATATATCAGTAAGGAAACCAGGTTCTGAATAGTAACCAGAATTGCACGGTACTACAAGAAAAAATAAAATATACATTTATTTATTGATATGTGTCTTACCACAGAATATATAATTATCAGTGTCTAGTCCAGCTCCAGATTGACACACGTATTTCCTTTGAGATGTTATCAATGAATTTGAAATTATCTCAACGTTTTCATCGTTATTATTCAAAGAGGAGGAGAAGTAATTCATTATTAATGATTTCTGAGTTGTTAGTGACTCCAACTGGTTCTCATACCAGCTGACTAATTCATCAATATGAGGAATGGTATCATTGACAGTAGCAGCTGCTATTAGGAAACTTGCTCTGTAATATGAATCTCCTTCAGCCATCACTCCCATCCAGCTTGCCGCAATGTTCATCGATGCAAGAACTCTTACCAAATAGGACCTGATAATATCCAAATCTGCTTCGGACCCAGTATCATCAGCACCAGACCCAGAACCCAAGCTACTCAAAGTAATGGTAAAGTTATACTTAGGAACGCTGACACTGGGACTGAACACTGTCCCTCTAATTGAAGGAGAAGTAGCTGATCCATGCTCAGTACTAGCAGTGCATCTGTAGTAGCCATTGTCTGACATTGACGGGTTTCTAATTATTAGTACATTAGAGGTTTCATTGATTATCCTATTCCAGCTCCCTCCTTCATTAGCAGCATATTCCCAGTACCAGGAAGGTGAGAGTGGATGCGAGTGGGCGGTACATTCGATCCTTAGTCCCTTGCTGCTATAAAGATGAGTACTGACCCTTTGTGGGGTCTGGGCCAGTACGGGAGGTCGGTAAAGATATGCTTGAGTTGGTAGCGTCTCGACAGTTTCAAAATCAGTGATGCCTGTACAAGAATATAAACCGGAATCATCGGCATTGAACGAAATCAGTGTTAAATCACTGTTTGATTCATTGCTGATTATAATATCATCTTTATTCCATTGATATCTGATTGGTAGTGATGAATTAACATTGCAGTGTAGTGTAGCGGATGATTGCTCAAGGATTGGCATCACTGGAGGTAATTGTGATGACACAGAAGGATCAAATACACACCAGTAATTAGCATCGTTGATATGCCTCAATACAGTGCTGATGTTTTCCATTGCAGACTGTACATCAGATAGTGTGATGGCTCTATTGCTTCTCTGAGCTATTAACTCAATAGCATTATTAACACTAGCTTTATGTGAATATAACGAGGCACTAGCTGATGGTATACGAACCAATTCTGAGAATATGTAGCCAGAAATTGCACTGAGACAGTCAGTAAAAGTATAGCAAGAGAGACTACTTATTGAGCCGAGGCTGCTGTGATACAGCTCTATTGGTTTAAGCCAGTGCACAATACTAGCCCTTGATACAGTCAGTGACTGTTGCTGTAGCTGATACTGAGCTTGTGCTAAATAAAGATTCTCTCTTGATTGAAGAGTGGCCTGTTCACTCATTGATAGACTAGTACTGTTAGATACAATGGTGTTATACCTGTACTGAAGCCTTGAGCTGAGGCTAGCAATGTCTGTCATTGTTGCAGTTGTCTCACTGATTGCTTCTGTCAGTGATGTATTAATGAATGATACATAAGACATGAACTGTTGCAATATGTTGCATTTGTTGAGAAATATTCCACGAGTGTCGATATCAGCTTGCTGTCTCCTCTTCCTGCCATTGTTATTGTTATTATTATTGTTGTTGTTGTTTCTAGCATCAACGATGAGTTCATTTGTGAGTTGATCTATGATGAACTGTGGCGGTGTGTTCAGATCAATATTGCTAGATAGAGGGTAACTAGAAGACGGAGCATAAGGGAAATAATATCCAATGCGTAATGATATCCTGTTGCTTGAGGGTGAGGTGAGCTCAGCAGTGAAATTGAGAGAAGATACATCAAGTACATCACTAGCAGAATTATGGGCTTGAATCCAGTCCCTAATACCAATTTCTCTCTCCAGTAGTTCTGATACACTACTAACAGGAGCTGAACTTTTAGTAGCAACTGCTGATGCACTGGTAAGAGCTGCAGAGGTAAGGTTTAGTCTTTCCCTTAGTAACACCATTTTTAATTCTCTGTTGTTCAGCTCTGCTCTAGCTAGAGACACATTGGCTAATAATGCATCATATTCGGAACTAATTCTAAACAAAGCAGCAATACTAGCTTGTGAAGCCACTGAGCTAGCCTCATTGATTAATTGTATTCTTCTTGAGTGGTCACATTCTACATAAACACTAGCACAAGGTTGGCTGACTGGTTGTAGAGTGCATGTAGAGAGGGAGCAAGTATAATATCTGTTGGTATTATAATGAGATGAGACTATTGGCTCTGATTGAGTACGGATATTGGATATATTGGAATCAGCGTAAGTTTTAACTTGAAATAGAGATGACTGACATGCATTAGTGCAATCAAGTCCATCATAAGCTACAGGCAATACCAGGCCTTGTCTCTCTATCCATCTCACTCCAATGACACCATCACAATCACTTACACTACTGCAGGAGTTGACTTGGCTTGTTGATGGGTTTCGATGAGTCTGGTTCCTAGGTATATCAAAATCAGCAAGACCACTAATGGGTAAACTAATGTCGCTAGTGCATGGTCTAAATGAATAAGGCATTGTGCAGTCAGTGCCACAGTTATTAATGCATTGAGCAGCATTATACACTGCATCTATTTGTGTTTCACTGAGATATAGTCTAATGGTTGCATTAAAAACATTCCATTTTTGATTGCTGGCCTCAACTGCATCAGTGTATGACTGGACTGCTTCCTGATACTCTATTATAGACCTGTTGTACTCATCCTGTAGTGCCATTAATGAGCTAGCAAAGGAAGAGTTTGTTTCCTGAGAACTGTCAAGGTTACTTTGAACAGTATCAAGTCTAAAACTAGCATAATCCCCTGATTCAGCCAGTACACTGTGCACGTTAGATCGAAGCTGATTAAAGAATGAGCCACTCAAGCTGCTACCAGTCAGCTGTGACTCAATCACGACTCCAGCAGTATCCCAGCTATCCCCAGGATGAATGACACCTCTGATATTCATATTATAGATGCCTTGAGGAGATCCTGATGATAAACCAATCGTTAGACCAGTGGGCGTTACAACGATGATTGTTTCTACGTCAACGTCATAGAGACTCAAACGAGCGTTCCTAATCATACCATTGACATCACCACTGGTTGAATAATTCAAAAGAATATACGAGCCAGTAGAGGCATAGTTTGGGAGGGACAGGACTTTACCTAGTCTGATGGGTTTGGGTCCGTTATTATAAGCTTTGATGGTCAGTGAGATATTGTGAGTATAAAGAGAAAAAGATGACGAGGAATGGAACGTTAACTCTGTTGTAAGGCCATATATGGTCATGCCGTGTATTTTTAGCCCAAGGCACTGAGTGTACATACTGACCCAGCCAGGAGTGAAGTCAGGTCTCAGGTTAACAAAGGAAGATACAGGACAGGGAGTGCTGGCATCAAGTAATGGAAAGAGATCGTGATAGAAATCAGAACTGGGAGCTGAATCATAGTTCATGTTAACGCTGAAACCTCTTGAGAAATCAGGATTAGATTCTATATGTATGCATGTAAATAAAATAAATAATAATATTAGTAGATGCCTCACCATTGAAGAGGATCCCTTGTGCAGTTTGAGAGGACAATACAAAGGACTGAGGGGCAGAATTAATGAGTGCAGTGATTGACAAGACTCCATCACCATTCAACAACACTGGAGACTATAAGAAAAGAAAGAAGAGTAAAGAGTATATTCAGTCATGCATTATAATTGTACATACATTTTGTCTTTGGAGTGAAAATGAAACATGTCCAGTGAAATTAGACTTTACAATAAGATCATAAGTGTCTCCCCTTGAGGTATGACCTGCCGTAACAAACAATCCAACATCATTAAAGCTTGAAGAGTGGTTGGTAATCCAGTCAGACCCACTCCATAATCTGAGACTATTAAACAGTAGATCATTGTTATTGATGGCACCATTAGATGAGAGATGAACACTGCGTATCGATAGACTCCAGTCCCAGTTTGAATAATACCGGAACCCTGAGAGAGAAGATATGAGTGCACTACTTCCAGTGGTTGGAAGAGAAACAGTGAGAGGAGAGAAAGGGAGAGAGCAGAGAGCCAACGAGAAGCAAGTAATGTCATTAACATTATAGTCCATGGTTTCACCATTCACACTAGCACTGATCCTGGAGTTTGACTTTAAGACATAAGTCGGTGAATTAACCTGAAGTCCTTGACACTCATCACTGATATGATCGGAATCACTGATCAAATCAGACATGAAATCATACATAGCAAGATTTCTGCTGATAGTTGCATCAGTAGGCATCAGTGTTATACCAGATGGCAATAAAGACGGGGCCTGATTTAAGAATGTCTTAAACAATGCTCCATCTCTCGCAAGAATGGCGGAGTCTGAATTCTTAGCATCACTAGAGAGACAGGCCCCACTGGAATTGGTACAGTTAGTACAGTATAATACTTCATCAGTGTTTGGTGTCATACTGAGAGACGATGGACTAACATTAACACCAATGAGAGAGAGAGGAAGGGAAAGCCCACCTGAATGCATAAAACTAATTCCATTAGTCTTTACTGTGTTATTAGCATCCATTCCCACCGAGCATGAAGATGAAATACTCTGAGTCCAGTACTGGCAGAATGAGTCTGAGAGATTCAAACTGCAGCAGCCTGGTGATTTCAGTACTCCCTCTGTCTCGTAGAGCCCAGTTGAGCTCAGAGCATCACTGTTATCATAAACAATGAAATACTGTTCATTAGTGGATAGAACTACACTGCTCCCTTGACTGTAAGCTAAATAACGTATGCTGTACGCACCTGCACTGGAACCCCTCAGAGCAAAATTACCGGACCCAGTACCGGGGTCAATACTAACCATTGGCGAGGGGGATACATTTATTGTTGGGTCAGCAATAACGTGTACCGTTATATCATCGGTGTGGCCTATTTCTGTCAATATATAGAGACGATCCGATTGGTCACCGACTGCTAAAGAGGGAAGGGATGAGAGAATTTGAAGGAGTCTTGTTTCACAGTATTGGCCAGTGAAGTACTGGGAACAGGAACAAACCGGGAGACTGTCTTGAACACTGCATAAACCGTTATTCATGCATGGATTAGGATTACATGGAGAAGATAGAGGAGCTAAGAGAGAGAGAAAGAGAGACAATTTTAAAATACCATTACTACATCATGTTCTAATCTTACTGCATTGAGTATCAGTGTTGCCCCATTCTAACTGGTTCCCTGTATTATCCAGTACGCAGTACTCTTGATAATAATCTGCTCCAGGGGTGCCATTGTAATAGCCATAAGGACAAAATATGGTACAAGATGAACCAAACTCAGTGTTACAATGTCTGGCTATTAAATATGTCTCTGTTGCTTGTAATGGCGGGCAGCTTTTCCTTGTACAGGTGGTGGTGATTCCAGTCCATGTGCTGTTATCCTGACACACTCTGGTTACTGAGCCATTGATATCATACCCATCATCACACGAAAAGGAACAGATATCACCAGTGACCCCATCAGCTGGATCAGAGCAATTGTAATTCCCATTGAGTGGAGCCTCTAGCTTTGGAGAACAGGGTGTGGCTGTATTAGTAAAAAGGAGAAAAAAGGGCAAAATTTAAGTATTATTTTGTGCCAAAATTAGCTCAAACTTTCTACATAGCATAAGGACATCAATATGTATCAAAAAACGTAATAAAAATTTGGAATGATTTTGGAGCCATTTTTTGGAAAAAACCATGGGCTATAGCCTTGGGCATTTTTCAAAATTTTGGCATTTTCTTGAAATGGCCGTAGTTTAAAAAATTAAAGTCGGAATCACCTCAAACTTTCTACATAGCATAAGGACATTAATATATATCAGAAAATGTAATAAAAATTTAGGGTTAATTTGGAGCCATTTTTTGGAAAAAACCATGGGCTATAGCCTTGGGCATTTTTCAAAATTTTGGCATTTTCTTAAAACGGCCGAAATTTAAAAAATTGAAGTCGGAATCAGCTCAAACTTTCTACATAGCATAAGGACATCAATATGCATCAGAAAATGTAATAAAAATTTAGAGTAAATTTGGAGCCATTTTTTGGAAAAAACCGTGGGCTATAGCCTTGGGCATTTTTCAAAATTTTGGTGTTTTTAATGGCCATAATTTGAAAAATTGGAGCTGGAATCAGCTCAAACTTTCTACATAGCATAAGTACTGATCAATATGTAATATAAAATGTAATAAGTAAGTCCAATGAACCTGTGCATGTTACTCCATCAATCTCCAGTGAGTAGCCAGGTCTGCAGAAACAGGAGTAACTACCAGGATAATTGAGACACAACTGAGAGCAATCTCCATTATCGACATCACACTCATCAATATCTGGAGAAGAAAAGAGAAATATACATATAATCAGTGCCTATTATATTTTCCTATAAGCACATGTTAACTTACCTAAACAGGTCCTATTGTTATTAAGATTGAGTATATAGCCAGTGTAACAGGAACACTCGTATCCACCATCAGTACAATCTTCATTAGTACATATTTGATCACAATATAAACGTGGATCAGCACTTTCACATTCATTAAAATCTGCAATAATAAGACCAAATAAAATAATCAACAATAGTTAATTACCAGAGCAGCTATTTCCATTGGCATCCAAGGTGCAGCCCTCCATACAAGAGCAAGTAAATGAGCCATTAGTGTTAATACACATTTGTTCACATTCATTATCCACAGCACACTCATCAATATCTAAATAACAGAAAACATCAATAAATGCATTATTACTTTGAGTGGTTCACTGACCAATGCAAGTGAAGCCATCAGAGTGCAGTTCATATCCTGATTCACATGAACACGAGAACCGCCCATCAGTACAGAATGAGTTATTACACACTTGAGAGCAACCGCCATTATTAGTGTCACACTCATTAATATCTATTAATAGATAAATAATTATTACATCATCATCATTTATTATTACCATCACAACTAAATCCATCAGAGTTTAATGTACATCCTTCATTACAGTCACAAGTATAGCTTCCAATGTTATTATTACATAACTGGCTACAGTTATTGCCTGTATTGCATTCATTAGAATCTATATAGGAAAAGAAGTAAGAGCTATATAAATATTACTATTACCAATGCAAGTATGATTATCAGCTCCTAATCTAAAGCCAGGGTTACATGAACATTGATATCTGCCACTTAAGCAATCAAGATTATTGCAACCCTGACTACAATCATTTGTATTAGCAGCAGCACATTCATCAATATCTATGATAGAAATATAAAAACATAAAGATGATATTACAAAATAACTTACCAATGCATATTTGGTGATCCATTGCTTCTTCATTCATGCATCCTAATCTACAGCTACACTGATATGATCCAGCAGTGTTGATACATGTATGCCCACCACATAGTGATGAGTTGAAACTGCATTCATCAACATCTAAAATAGAGAGTTTTTAAAGGAATTATTAATATTAATACTTACCAATACAAGTATGATTATCAGGAGCTAGTTGATAGCCAGCATTACATGAACACTCATATCTGCCACTTGAGCAATCGAGATTAACACAATTCTGATTGCAATAATTATCAGCACATTCATCAATATCTGTAATATATGAAGAAATAAAAATAAGGTTGGGACAAAAATATTACAAGCTAATTTACCAATGCATATTTGTGGATCAGTTGGATCATTCATGCATCCTGGTCTACAGCTACACTGATATGATCCAGCAGTGTTGATACATGTATTCCCACCACATAGTGATGAGTTGGAACTGCATTCATCAATATCTAGGAAAAGAGAAAAAGAGTAATAAGCACGATGTGTCATTCAGCAGATTTTGATACTGAATCTTTATATATATGTAACTATTATGATTATAATTACCATCTGATACTTACCAATGCAAGTCTGATTATCTTCAGCTACTTCATAGCCAGAATTGCAGATACATTCATAGGAACCATTAGTATTGGAGCACATATGACTGCCACAGATTGGCACATTGTTTTCAGTGCATTCATCAATATCTAGAGATATTTAGGAATGCATGAAGAGAAGTTGGTGGTACTGCATGTTGAAGTGTATATTTTGCTACATCATGCAGCATGAGTTGTGTGTGTTCTATTGGTCTTCATGGGAGATGCAATGTAAATACTTTTAACATCATTCATGTGTTGTTCCCAATTGATAATCAGATTCATATCAACATTTTAAATTAATATTAGCTAGTAAACAATGCAAAGATTATCATACTTCATTAAAATTACCAAAAAGAAACTTTCTTTTTATTAATTGATGAGCTTTTAACTTGTACATGATGCATTACTGAGATGCAGCAGAAGTTTTAAATTAAACATTACTACAACTGCTGGCATGCATTGTAATTTAGTACTTAATAACATTACAGTTAACTAGGATGAAAGAGTATAAAAACAGTGAAAGGAGAAAGAGAGAGAAAGACAAAACTACAAGATGTCAACTAACTCACCCATACATACTCCTCCAACATCTTGAAAGCCAGCACCGCATTGTGCTGAACTATTTAGTGTGCATAAAATCAAAATGCAAATTACAGGTATCTTTACCTTTCTCTAATGCAAAAAGACAGAAAGAGAACACAAATAAAGGACAGTAGCAAGACTTTGCCCATTCTTTATGTTTAAAAGTTGCAAATGAAACACGCCCTAAGATATACGAGCTTTGAGCCACGCCCCCAATTAATTTTTGCATTGTGTGCATGTATGTATACACAAAAATTGTATCATAGTAGTTAATGTTTTATTTAATTTATAGTTATTTTACAAAAGAACAATAATAAATTTGAAAGGAAGGAGGAGGAGGAGAAAGACATGTCCTGTACAGTGGCTGTGTAGAAAAGATTGTACCAATGTAGTGAAAGAATCCTATAGGTAACCCACTCCCATCTCTCTCTCTCTTCTCTCCTTCAATTAAGAGAGAGGGAGAGAATGAGTGCAAGAGACAGTACGTCAGTCAACTTCGAGAGGAGCATCCGTCTCAGAGCAAGAACTAGAATACCTTACTCTAGTGATCTGAGGAATAAAAATACAAAAATAATAACAAGGTACAAGAATTTGGTAACTTTTAATTTAACTAACCTCAATTGGGCGCGGTCGCTTACTCTCAGATTGATACCCTCCAGCAGTATTCTGAGTTGACCTTTGCGCCACTTTCCTCTTGGGCTTAACAGATGGAGACGCTGATATCTAATAATAATAATAATAATAATCAGTGTTCGAGCTAGATGAACATAAAGATGAGTCCAATGACACCTTAAAATGTGCAATTTGACTGAAAATTGTAAAAATTCATGGGAAAAATGTGAGTCTCCAGGGCAAAATGCGAGTCCATGGACTCAAAAAACTTATGCTAGCTCAAAAACTGATAATAATAATAGTAATAATTAATAAATAATGGGCGCGGTGACTCACAAGTGATTGCACGATACTCTCGTGTGACAATTTAATTATCATACTCGTATCCAGGGAAGCAGAAGGTCCTTTAGCAGGTGGAGTCTGATTGACTATTAATTAATACAAATGATGGATCAATAAATATTAATAGGAGACAGACTCACCGACACCATTGTTAGCTCGTAGTAAGTCGACCAGTGGTTGGGGTAGCAGTGAAAAACTACCGGGTAGATTGATGGTGTCTGGGTCCGGCCTCTTGCTCAAAATTGATGACAAACGGCGCAATGCTTGCATTCTTCTGGAAGCAGTGAGCTGACACCTTTAGGAGAGAGAGAGAGGAGGGGAAAGAGAGGGAGGAACAGTATCATATGACATGTGTGTTGTTATCAATGATAAGACAAAATAGACACACACACCTCCTCTGTCTATCTCCATTTCACAGAATTAACACTTCAAACAAATTAAACACTCTCCCTCCCTCCTCTCTCTCTCTTACCATTGAACATTATTAAGTGTAAGAGGGTCTCCATGATCAGAGTGTATCCTTTTCTCCTCTTGATCATTAGTATTATTTGAACAATAACTGTGATCATGCGACACCAGCTGGTATTCAGCCCATGTGAACACATTAGACTCATCCTTCGATCTAACATCTCCACCTGCTAGCCCTCCAACAGGCGATGAGATGCTACTGTTATAGATTTTAAATACTGACGTTGGTAGCATTTCCTGGAGTGAAAAAAGGAAAGGAAATGTCACATCATAACAAAATTAATTCTGTTTCTATTAATCATATTAAAAGCAGTTTTAGACATGCATACATAGTACAGGGGGCACATAGTTGTACATACATAGACTAGGGAATGTTCCCAAACATTACTGCTTTTATTCATTCTCAATGAAATCCCATAATGCTACTCCCTCCCACTAGCCCTTGCATTGATTATTATTATTATTATTATAATAACAATGTTATGGAAACTGAAATGGTTCCAGCATAATATTGTAACCACATTTCATTCTCCCCTCTTCACCGCCCCTGCCCTTAGCTCATTCTTTCCTTCCCCCTTTTCTCTTTATTTTTACCATGTCATGACTACTACATGACATCACTGAGTCCATTTGATTCTCTTCATCATCGGAACACTCCGAGTTCCCACAGGAATTGAGTTGATGCTCTTCGACGCGATATCTCCTACACTTGTGCCTATACCTGTGAACCCTAAACAAAAGACAATAATAATAACAAAATAATAATTAAGAAAAGACCAGTAATTGTCAAAAACACACATTATACATATAATAGTAAAGAAATGTGTCATATCTACTTTACACAAAATAGCATTAAAAATGACAACAATGTCACCCTCTCACTTCGTTATTTCAGCTTCAATGGCTGCTATGTCCTCGTCTAGGGACGAGCGGCGAGAGGCTACGTGTGTCTTGTAAAATTCATCGAGATAGCCTTCAGAGAATATATCGTCTTCTAGTCTCGGTGGCCTCTCGGCAACACTCATTATGACGATACTACAAATAAATAATAATGTTTGCTGTTGATGTCCTTTTTATTATCCCTCTCTTGCGCGCTTTTATAGAGNCGGATAATACAGGAGGCTTTTTGCTCTCTCCTTCTGCCCTGATACCTTTTAGTAGCTCCTTTTGAGACGCCCCTCGTGGTCACTGATAGAGTTGAAAAGAAGCGAGTGTGAATAAAGTGTATTCAATCATTAATTATTATTATTATTATCTAATTAATTATTCATTGAAGAGGAAAGAAAAGGTGTGGCTGAGCATGAAGAATGACTGCAATCACTGCATAGTTACAGTTCAGCAGTTGCAGTACACAGCAGCAATGAATTTTTGTAGATTTGCCATCTTTGAAGAAATCCCTTCACTCTGTGATTCATTTATAAACGTTTAGAATAGAAAGCAAAGCGATAAATGTTTTAAAAGGCAATACACCTCGCATTACACGTGGTCTACTATTAGGATTACTTAATTACATTTACTGCGCATGCTCACAAATATCTTCCTTCTCTCTCCAGGCTGATACAAGAGGTGAAGAGGACAACTCATTGTTGTATCTCCTTCAATCTTCAGTTACAGGTAATTGATAGATTACTGTTCCATGAAATGGTAGAGTATTGCATTGTTAATTGCTATTACTGTTGATCTCAGAGTGCAGCTGCTTGATCGTTGGTAGGGCAATTTAAAATATTTGCTCATCCACACTCTGAGTGATTAAGACATTTATAACATCAGAAAATGCCTCCTAAGTTTGATCCAAACGAGATAATTACAGGTACATATAAATACAATTATTGTAATTAATAATTATTATTCATTCGTGATCATTTAATTAATTAATTAATATTATTATTTTTATTAGTTTATTTGAGAGTGGTCGGTGGCGAAGTTGGTGCCACGTCATCTCTAGCTCCTAAAATCGGCCCTTTAGGATTGGTAAGTACACGTTATTTAATAACTAACTTTTATTATAAATCAATCATGAATTAACAAGTTATCATTATAACAATCCCCAAATTGAATAATGATAACTTCTCTCCTTTTTGTAGTCTCCAAAGAAGATAGGAGATGACATTGCTAAGGCGACCGGTGACTGGAAGGGTTTACGTATCACCGTTAAACTAGTAGTACAGAACAGACAGGCCAAGATTGAAGTGGTGCCCAGTGCAGCTGCCCTTATTATCAAAGCATTGAAAGAACCACCACGTGATAGGAAGAAAGTCAAGAACAGTAAGAAAATGAAAGTGTGCCGTTTATTTTATTGTTTTATTTTAGTCAAGCACTCTGGTAATATCACAATGGAGCAAGTAATTGAGATTGCCAAGACAATGAGGCCTAGATCAATGTCAAGATATCTATCAGGTATGAGAAAAGATTCAGACTCACGATTCCATGTTTCAAGACTCGTGACTCCATACTTTCATTCTCACTCTAGGTACAGTACGGGAGATATTGGGTACCTGCCAGTCGGTGGGTTGTACTGTTGATGGGTCTCATCCTCATGATAAGATTGATGAGATAAAGAGTGGAGCTATCACTATACCTGTAAGTGCACTGTGTTCTCATTGATTGTATTGACGCTTTGTTATTTTTTAGGAAGAGTAAGAGAACAAAGACTATAAATAATAATAAATGATTTTGTTTATTATTGTTGATAATAATTATCATTATTTGACCGAATTATTACTACCAAATATTAACTTTGACTATCTATGCTGTATGGAAGCATAATAGATACTCTATTATCTATGGTAGCATAATGTTCCAGCCACACATGCAATGTTAGTGATCATGACATGGCAATATGCTTTATGAAGTATCTCATTAATATTAATTAAAACAATGAATATAATACACATATGATATGATTTGATAACGTCATATATTTGCACATTAAAAACCTGCAATTAGCAGTACTCAGTATATCCTTGCACATATCAGTATATGTCAGTATAACTTATGCGGGAACATGCGTGGTCTCTCGACAGACCCTTGTATTTGTACGCACATACAATCATCGACTATGTCTAAAAAATCTGTCGTTCTTTGAGGGACCCCCCTTTCGTAAAAGTGGGCATGTTCGCTCAAGAGAGGATCAGAAGTAAGGTGGGAAGGGTCCGTAGGAAGAAAAGAGGAGTGGGCGTGTCCATGCGACAGATGAGAGGGATCAGTGTGAAAAGTTAGAAGACTAGCCGTGGAAGGATTGTTAACATTAGGACTGGTTGAGCCCAACAGTGGACTATATGGGGAGAGAGAAGGGTAGAGGATATCAAGAAATACGATATTTTGTGGCCCAAAATTTTGTGAATTTATAACAAAATGTGGGGCCATAAAACATCTTGCTATACACATGTCATGATGATTCTTATTCCTCCTACTTACTTATTACAAGACTCTATACTGACATATCGACCAGCAGCTGAGGACAAGTACTCTTCTCCTCCTGATGATGACATCTCTTTCTCTCTTGACTCTTCCTTTGGAGGACTACTAACCACAACCTTAACAGGACAAGGTAGAGGAGGGAGAGGAGGAGGAGAAGGAGAGATTGGCGACTGTGGAGAAGGATATTCACATCTTGAGTCTCCCATAATGTAACGCTCCATTTCATCATACATACTAGCATTACTAAAAGAGAATCATACATGAAGAGCAGCAGCAATAAACCATGCATTACCTTTGTTTCATTATTTTCCTTAGCTCTAGCTTAACTCTTGTTACGTATTCCATTTCATCAATCGGGCGGTCGGCCTTCAATCCTCCCAGTATACGGAGTGACACGTCCTTCATTTTTGTGGAAGTGAGCCCAGGACTAACCTCCATATTGTGTTCATGCTGCTCGGGGGATAAAGGGGGCGATGGTGTTGATGACTCTGATTCTCTTGGATAAGAGGAAGGAGAGAGGATAACCTTGGCATTATCCTGACCGGCAGTTGATAATGGCTGAAGAGGAGGAGTGTATGTGAAAGATTATACAATACAATAAGTCAATGGTGCTACTCACGCTACCTTTAATTGGTTTCCTTCTAATCATAAATGTACATTTTAAAATTATCTAAAATTACTAAAAATGACATACTTCGTGTGACTGGTTCCGATACCCTAGCCTTGTTGTACAAACCAACTTTATGCTACAGGGATTGAGGTGATTATTAACATGATTATATAATTAATGCATTAGTTACTGATAGTCTTCCTCTTGTCAATAATGATATCAAGTTTTTCCGATCGGCCGAGGGCTCAAATACTTCATTTTCTTTATTAGATTCCTAATAATAATAATAATAATTGATAATTAGCAATAATTATAATTAATTGTAAACCACACCCACTGTATACTAGTATCTTTGCACTCACTTTCAAAACACTTATTTTGTCTCTTGTTTTTCTCTTTGATTTACTCCGTCCTCCTCCTTCTCTCCCAGTCTCTCCAGCTATTAGTTCTATTGACTTGAAAGTGTCTAAAAGTAGGAAAAGAATAATTATAAGATAATGAAAATGACCAAACTGGTAGGCTACCAGCAGTGTCACTTTTACGAAAAGACTTCTTCATTTCTCTAGATTTTTTCATTTCTTTTCTAAAACAGGAGCAATAAAATAGAGATGCTTCAAGTCAAGTGCAGTGGACTTTAGCTCTGATTTAAGTGATTTGCCAGCTGCTACGAAGCCACACCTACAATGAAGGTGTGTCACAAAATGGCGGAAGAGAATTGCGTGGGTGGGCTGGTTAAGCAGACTTTGCCATACACACTTTTTGGAAGGGCTGGAGTGAAGATTTTGCATTAGCACTTTAACACTTTTTTCTGTTTTCTTTCCTAGGCTATAACTGCTATAAGAGTAGACCAAGCGACCCAAGATGCGTTCACATGTCATTTTCCTGAGAAGGAGGAGAGCGAAGGCGGAGATAGGGGAAGGAAGCACACTACAGGAAACCATAGACCACCGGATTCTCTGCTGAAGGAAAGAGAGAGATGGATCCTACACAAGTACAGCAGCGCTACAATGGCGCTTCACACAGTAACCACCAGCTCGGCCTCCCCGCTTCGCCAACAGGGAGTCTCCTTAGAGGCTGGCGTCCATCACTTGCTGTCCTATTTCACCAGTTCTTGTCTCGTGGTAACAGCAGTGAAGGGGAAGAAGAGGAAGAGAGGGACTATCTGCTCAAAGAAGACTTTTCTGAGGTCTTCCCAGACGCTAACCAACTAGATAAAGCCTTTGAGGAGTTGGATGCAGATAAAGATGGTCGTATCACTCTTGACGAATTCATGGCCGGCTTTGCTACTTTCTTACGTCAGGCCCAAATGAGTTCCTCGTTGAATCCGGACTCTCTCGAACCTGCTACGGAAGAGTTGTTAAAAAGGGGAGGGTCTTCAAGACGGAGTGTGAGACGAAGACCGATTCCCGAGATATTCTTTGAGACAGTAGAGGGAGATGGGACAGGAGGAGGAGGAAGCGGAGAGAGTAACGGGGTACAGAAACCGACCGATTCCTTTAAGACTTCTTTGAAACCTCTTGCGACCCGCACACAGTGAGCACTCATTGATATTCATTATAAGTGATTAGTTTTGTTTAATGTAATTACACAAGATGTACTAGTAAGGCATTAAAACAACACTGAACATGTTTGTTAGTTGTAAGACCCTCTTCCTCCTTTCAGTGCTCCTCCTCTTTCTGTGTTACATTATCAGTTTCCTATAATCTTGTTTGTTTTATCTCACATTAAGTTATTATGCTTATCATTAATATACAGTACATGTACATGTATTTTCAGTACATGTATTTGATGCATTAATTATTGGTACAGAGCATATACTGCATTATTATGTACATGTATTGTGTTAACAATGATTCTTTATATGAACGTGTACATCAATTGATAATTATAAGTTGCTTTGTGCTGCTGTTTTGGCTCCACTCCAAAAGAGACAGGAACCCCCATACAATGTACAGCGTATGCATATTCTAGCCCCCACATGTACATTAGATAAAAGATAGGGCCTGGATGCTATTGTTGTTGTTGTCCTGGCATTAAATAGAGTGTAGTGTTAATGTAATTACTATGGTGACATTGACTGTGTAAGTAATTTATCAGTAGTAAACACACACACCCATATGTCCCAGTACGAATAGAGATCCTGTATATAATGGCATTGTGTTTGTTATTTTTATCTTGTGTTTTTGTTTTTTATTTGCCCTTGAAGTTATGTTTTTGATGGTCTGATAACTTTAAAAGATAATGTAATACCTGCTTGTTTCTTTACTTGGTAGAGAGAGCATTGAGCAGCTCTGGATCAGGTTAAATAATTCTAATCCTGAACTTGTCACTGACTTTGAGGAATTTATTTGTGATATGTCTACTGAAGTGGAATCAGCACAGAATGCTCTCAAGTACACCCATTATACACTATCATGTACATGTTCATATGTACATGTATTGTAGGAGACAAAGAGAAGCTAATACAAAAGAGGCCTATCAGTTGGATGAAGAGATGGTCAGAATACAGCATGACACACTGACAGCTTTAGAACAAGAGGTTAAGTCTCTCTATCTATCTCTCTCTCTCTCTCATCACTCCTCCTCTTATAGACTGCACTGCTAAGAGAAAAGGCTCACAGCAGTCAGTCCAAGCTTGAAGTACAATTGTATGAGAAAGAAAGAGAGCTGACTGAAATCAAAGGAAAACTGGAGCTGGTCAGTATTTACACTCACATGTGTACATGTGTCACACACATCACATACATTGTAGTACTATAAAATATCATGCATATCGCGCATGTGTACATGTACATGTACATGTACTGTATGCAAGCGAGACAACATGTATCGGTTGATTATTAGTTGTCACGTCTTCTCGACAAATGTGTACTATCTGTTCTTCAGCTGGAGAATAAAATCACCGAAAGCAACAACAGACACAACGAGCTAAAAGAAATGTATCAGAATACCTTTGACGTAAGAGAGAGGGAGGGAGAGAGAAGAGAGGGAGAGAGTCGATCAATTTCAATTTATACAGGAAAAGGACGAGTTACATGAGAGATTGAGTCAGTCTGAGTCTTTATTGAAGAAGAGCCAAGAAGAGATTGATGCCATGAAGAAAGAAAATAACGAGAAATTAAAAGAGTAAGGAGTGGGGCTTTAATGTAATGTGTGTTGATTTGTCCTCTTAGTTTGTTGGAGGAGAAAGAAAAAAAGGAGGAGAGTTTACAACAGATCGAGTCGAAATATTTGAAAGAAATAAAAGAATTAAAGTAAATTCTAAAATCTTGTTTGCACACACAAGCATAAATATCTCCCTCCCTTTCTGTTTCTTGTAGAGACGTGCTATCAAATGTTGTACAGCAACAAGAGATACAACAGCAGAAACAAGTTCAACTACAAACAAAACTATTAGTGGAGAGTAGTGGGACTGGAAGTCAGGTCCAGCGACCTGATCTGCTGACTGCTGCTCATTACGATATACTGGGTAGAGATTCACCTTCACCCTCTCTTCATGATGAAATCGTAGCAACTGAAGGAAACACTTCACCCGTACTGAGGTATGAAGTCTATAAACATGTACATGTAGGAACAAGTTTTTAAAATTTGTAAAAAAAATTCAAATTTGATCGGAATCAACTCAAACTTTCTACACAACATAAGTACATGTATATGCAGCAGAAAAAATTATAAAAGTTAGGAATTCTCTCCTTTTCATTTTTGGCGAAATTTGGCCAAGCACCCTGTACTATAGTACAGGGACTTTGGCTCGATTTTGGAGCAACTTTAAAAAATTCATAAAAAATTCAAATTTGATTGGAATCAGCTCAAACTTTCTACACAACATAAATACATGTATATGCATCAGAAAAAAATTATAAAAGTTAGGAATTCTCTCCTTTTCATTTTTGGCGAAATTTGGCCAAGTACCCTGTACTATAGTACAGGGACTTTGGCTCGATTTTGGAGCAACTTAAAAAATTCATAAAAAATCCAAATTTGATCGGAATCAGTTTAAACTTTCTACACAACATAAGTACTTGTATAATGCATCAGGAAAAATAATAAAAATGGAGAATTCTCTCCTTTGAATTTTTGGCAGAATTCCCCTGTACTACAGTACAGGGTGTTTGGTTGCAATCAGCGAACACTGAAATTACTACACTTGTACAATCTCTAGGGATACAATGCTTCGCCTTAGACCTCCTACTCTTATTGTACCACCACCTGTGAGTGGACTGGGAGTGGTTGGAAGCGGAGTAAACTTTAAAGAACTAGACCACCTGGACCTAGCAACAACACCAACACAGCAACAGTCAGCAAATCAAATGCAACTTGATACAGGAGGGTATGTGTTAATAACTACTAATAACCATTAAGAACTAACTACATGTATTTATATAACTATTTATAATTGCTAGGGTACGTTTAAGGTCTAAGACTTCATTACAGGTAGAGCGTGGGGCTATGCCTCGCCCAGTGTCACTAATGGGGACTAGAGGTGGAGCTAGTAATAATAATAGCCTTGACTTAAACTGGCCACCGAGTAAGAATTACATGTATACATGTATACATGTACATATATAATTTATAATAATAATTATTCAGGTAATTGGACTGTTGCTCCTCAGGACTGGTTGGCCAGTGTTGCGGCTGGTAATATAACTAGATCTCCTTCTCCTCCTGACACTGAACTCCTCCCTCCCCCTCCCCCTCAACCATCTCCTTCTGATAATGGAAGAGGGAGCCGTTTGAGAAAGTCATACTCTAACCCAGATATGTGTCAAGTACATATCAAACAGCATTATATAAGTTGATTGTTTTCTCTTATAGCCATTACAGTTCCTTGATAAAATGGTAGTACAACCTGACATTACATTTAAAATATTAATCGTGGGTAATCCTCACGTTGGGAAGTCATGCTTCCTTACCCGTCTGTGTACAAATACTTTCACCACTAAATATGCCTCTACCATTGGTTAGTGACATATACATGTACATGTATATTGATTGCTCTCTCCTCTGGCAGGTGTTGATTTTTATAGCCGTGCCTTAGTCATTGATGATAAAACAGTTGCTTTACAGTTTTGGGACACAGCTGGCCAAGAGAGGTACTGTAATGCATCCAAATATCCTTCATTGCTTCACCTTTCTCTTCATAGATTCCAGTCAGTGACCAAAGCATATTATCGTGGTGCCGACGGCGTCATATTAATGTACGATATTACTAGCGAAGAAACATTCATTGCAGTTAGGAAATGGATAAACTCAATGCAGGTACAGTGCTATGCATACTGGCTCTCATAGCTGGTTCAGTGCCTCATAAATGCCGATATTACAACTGTCACTGTTTTCTTCTCTTCTCCAATCAGGATAATATGGATAAGCTACCAGCGTGTCTCTTGTTGGTTGGCAACAAGGTTGACTTGGAACACAACGAGAAGAGAGAAGTATTATCGGAGACCGGAGAAACATTTGCCAAAGTACTCAAATCAAAATACTATTGCTATTATTATTATCTATTAATTATTATTATTATCCCTACATTATCTACTCTTGTTATTATACAGATTTATGGTGCTCATTTTATTGAGACCAGTGCCAAGTTAGGATTTAACGTGACAAATGCTTGTCTTACTTTAGTAAAGTAAGCTAAAATCGTTAAAGTTAAACGCTTTTACGTATTTTATGTTAGTAAACTCTTATCTGAGGTAATTTTATCTGGCGACAGTCGTCAGGGCAATACCATAACTGTTGGTGAGAAGGAAAAGAAATCAAACTGCTCTTGTTAATATCAGGACTAATCATTACTTCACTGTTGTTGTTGTTATTTTTATTTCATTTCATTGTCAATACTTTTTGCCTCTCAGTTTGTAAGAAATTGTTTTTCATGTTTCGTCAGAATTATTAGTCAAGTAAAATAAGAGCAACTGGCAGCCTCAGAGTTCACAAATCTTTGCTGAAGAATGCAATAAAATGTATGCGTTTATTCTGTTTCACAGCGTTATTGTTGCAATTCCTACAAGGCCAAGACAGCATAAATGAACTATCATTTTTTCTAACTTTCTGCAATTCAAGAGGAAATCTAGATCTGTTGTTATCAAAACAATCTTTGCAATACCTTCTAGTGTAGAAAATACTACAATCCTGTACAACAAAGTTAATAAGGATAACAATACTAATCATGTAGGTGTGGTCTTAACCACGTGTATCCACGTGTCAAGAATTCAAGATTACTTTAATACCTGTGATACACAGATGGCTCTGTGACATGCAGCACAACGAGATCCAAGAACTAGTGGCTTATGCTTCTCAGAGAATGGATCCCGACCAATAAAACAGTCTTCAGAAAAGCTAGAGATGAAAATAAAGAAAAATGGCATTATTTTAAAATCTACTAATAATCCTCTTCTCACACTAGACCGCTAGAGAAAGGGCAGGACTTGCTAAATGAGTAGACCAGAGAAGTAAAGCCACATCTTTCACAACGGAAAGATCCTGTTGGCTCAAACTTTCTCTTGAAAGACGCCATTTCATTTAAACCACGCCTTGATCGGTCACGCCCATACGGTTACCGGGGCAACTGCACAACAATAACAAGGAGACTTGGAGTGAGGTAGGAGGAGAAAGAAAGCGAAAAAGGAAAGAATGAATACGGTTGCTTGGTTACTGAACACCTCAAGACACTGAAAGAAGAGTGAGAGAAGGTTAAAGAGTTAGCAAACTAATGAAGTATAATTTTTCTTTAAAGAAACAAGGTACATTGGAGTGGCTCTCTCTCTATATATACCCTTTTATTCTCTAGATTAGGTGATCATCATGGCTGAAGCTGTTAAGGTCATAATAAGGTGTCGTCCATTAAACGAGAGAGAGACACGCCTCCAGTGTGAAGTTGTGGTCACTATGGATACCAAGATCGGACAGGTCCAGTTGAAAAAGCCGCAGTCGGATCAGAAAGTGACTCCTCACAAAGCATTCACCTTTGATGGAGTGTATTATACCGGTGACACTACACAAACCATATATGATGACATCTGCTTTCCACTTGTATCTGGTGTTTTAGAAGGTACTTGTACTGGATATTCTGCAATAATTATCGTACAAATTTTCTTGTTAGGTTACAATGGTACAGTATTTGCGTACGGGCAGACAGGCTGTGGTAAATCCTACACAATGGTAGGCGTTGAAGAACCACAGGATCAAGTTGGCATCATACCGAGAGCATTCGATCACATATTTGATCACATTGCTGTCTCCAGCGGAACAAAGTTCTTAGTTCACGCCTCTTACCTCGAGATATATAATGAAGAGGTACGGGATCTCCTGGGACGTGATGTCAAAAAGAAACTGGATCTAAAGGAGCATCCAGACAAGGGAGTCTATGTCTCTGGATTGACTCAGCATCGAGTACATAACAGGAAGGAACTGGAATCAGTGATGGCTACTGGGTCAAAGAACCGCTCAATGGGTGCCACGCTAATGAATGTTGATTCCTCTCGATCACACTGTATCTTTACCATCGATATTGAGATGATGTCAGACGAAGGAGGAGATGATAAATTAGTTAGTGGTAAACTTAATCTTGTCGATCTTGCCGGCTCTGAGAGACAGTCAAAGACAGGAGCTACGGGCGAAAGACTAAAAGAAGCGACAAAGATCAACCTCTCACTCTCGGCTCTTGGCAATGTAATATCGGCTCTTGTGGACGGTAAATCAAAGCACATACCATACAGGGACTCCAAACTGACCCGGTTGCTACAGTCGTCCCTTGGAGGGAATACAAAAACCTTGATGGTAGCCTGTGTATCTCCGGCCGATAATAATTACGATGAGACCCTGAGTACTCTTAGGTATGCTAATCGTGCAAAAAATATTAAAAATAAACCGAAAATTAACGAAGACCCAAAGGATGCTTTATTGAGAGAGTATCAGGAAGAGATCAAGAAACTGAAACTGATGTTACTAGGACAAGCAGATATACCTGATAAATATAAAGGTATCGCTATTGTTTTTAGCATGTGAATGTATCATGGACAGGATTTCCCACAGAATTTTGGCATAATCCTCAGCTTCTTGTCAACAAATTTTTAAAAGCTTAACTAACACCCTGTAGTAGTACATTTGCCAAAAATGACAAGGGAAGGATTCTCAATTTTTATAATTTTTTTATACATGTACATGCATGTATACATGTACTTATGTTGTGTATAAAGTTTGAGGAGCATAAGCACTTCATCTTCCCTTTTCTCTTCTCTCAGTAATGGATGGCAGTAACTATGATTTGACCAGTGGCAGTAACAGTGGTAGAGACTATGAAGCAGAGATGGCAGAAATGAGAGAAGAGTACGAGAGACAAATAGCACAACTTAGATCACAATATGGAGAAGAACATGCTAACAGAAGCAAACTAGAGGAAGAAATGCTAGCACTGAAGCAATCCTTTGAAGCACAAATGGCTAAAACGGCAAAAGTATAATCATTTATACATGTACATGCATAAACGTGTGCATGTTTGTGTTTTATTTGCTTGCATAGGAGGCTGCTGCTGTAAATTCTCCATCTCATGTTGTGGCCAGTGGAGCTAGTGGCGTTGTCCTCTCTGATGATCAAAAGATCCTTCAGGAACATGAAGCTGCCGTTCAAAGACTCCAAGAAGGACTCATTGGAGGAGAGAAAGCTGGTAAAGGAAAAATAAGCATGAGCTCATTCCTCTATCCATTTCTTTCTCTTTTCAGATGATCCAACTCTCAAGGCAGAGCTAGACACTAGAAAGAAGCATGCTGAAGATAAACTGAGCCAATTGAGAAATGCTAATTCTCACCTTGAGGATGATGATAACATTTTGGAAAAAATATTTAACAATTTAACAGGTACATACGTGTCCACACCTTGACCAATGATCATTCGCTTCTCTTGTCTCTCTCTTTAGATGAAGTCCGTGTAAAGACAAGAGCATTGGAAAGAAGTCAAGAGAAGCTCAAGTCGGCTCAGGACGACATTGATGACCTTCAAACTGAATTTGAGGAAGAGAGACAATCGATGCTAGACACAATAAGAGGACAAGAGAGACAGCTCCTACTTCACAAACAAATACTTGATAAAATGGTTCCACTGATACACAGAGACTGTAACTACTACAACATTGACAAGATAAAAGTTGATGCTCATTTCGATGAGGATTCGCAGGAATGGATACTACCTAAAGTTGTACGAACCTCCACTAGCCTGGTTGCACCCTCCAAGGGTTCACAAAACCTTTCTGACCACTCACCATCTCATGGGAAAATGAGGAAATCTATGGAAGACCGTTCGTCAAGTCCTACTCCATCCTCGAAGAGATCCGATGACCAACTGACCAAGATACTGTCAAAGCCTGACAACACTGACTATTTTAAACCAAAAAGGGCTCAAGAACTTCTTGCAGAATGTTCCGCCATTAAAGGAGTTTCTCCGGAGCGCTCTAGGAAGAACCTACATGGCACCACAAGTCTAGGTTCTATCAATAAGTCTCCTATTCACAATGCTAGTGGTGGGGCTACTAGTGGGGGAATGGTTGGAGGTAGTGGTATTTTTAGTGTTGAGAGTCAATTGTTGCCACTTTCAGATAGCAAAGGAAAACCCAGGAAACTTAATTCAATTCCATTACTACAAGGTATATGCAGCATTTACTGACATTATCAAATTGCATCGTGCACATGTACATGTAATTATGTTCAGCTGTTCCCAAAACTTTGAATTGTGGCCATTTTAATCAATAATGAAGCATGATCAAGCATCCGTAATTTTTCTATTAAATTTAAAGTTTGAGACTACTTTTAATTGATGTATATTGTAGATGTGCCAGCTCCTCCAGAAGTTGATGCTTCCACAATAGATCAAATGGACAGAATGATTGCTGAAAGAAACTCCAAAAAAATGCACAACAGACGACTTGATCCACTCCCTGAACACGGGAGGAAACAATTCTGATGTGTTTTTGTACCGTATATTAGTGTATACTTATCTCTCTCTCTCTCTTCTTTTGTCTCTTATTTTTGATAATAAAACATTATATTATTAATGCTAATGATGCAATGGCATAAGGTTATATGCAAGACTCATGCACAAGAGAAAGGGAGTCACAAAACTAAACTAACAAAATTGAAGAGGAGTAAACCTGTGCTGTCCTTCAACAATCATTATGTCCTTTGTATCCATTTTTGAGATGGGCACGCAGCACTCAATATTATTATTATACCAAAATTAAAAATAACAAAGACACTAACAGATTGAGAAGAATACAATAACTAATAACTGAAATGATTTAACAAGTGTTAGTACAGCAACAAACACAATAACTAATAATAACAATAATAAATATCGTTGGTAGTAGCATTAGTTATCTTCTTGAACATCAAAAATTTGCACAAAAGTTACCGGAACAATGCCTTTCTCATCTCCAAGGCATCCTTCATACCAATTTTCATCAACTTGCTTTACTAGTGTGATTACATCATTCTGAATGAGAAAAATGTAAATATTAATTTTACATCAGTGCTACACAGTACATCTTATGCTCACTTTATTGAAGGATAATTCTTTTGATGATTTTGCAGTAAAGTTATACTTTGCTTTAGCAAGTAAATTTAAAGGAGGAGGTTCTACAGGATCAATTTGTGAATCTAGCAGCAATATATCATCTTGTGTCAAGAGCTAAATGAAAGAAAAACACTAAAACTTTGTGCAAAATACAAAACATGTTTAGTTTTGATCTGAATCTGCTCAGAGTTTTTATACAAGTACATGTACATTCATCTTCAATCATACCTTCACAAAATTAACAGGAAATATTCCTGTCTGACCATTAACAGTGCCTTTAAGCCAGTTTGAGTCAACTTGCTCTGTAAGACTAATGACATCACCCTTCTTGAAAGACATCTCTTTTGGACTAGCTGCTTCAAAATCATATAAAGCCTTTGCTTTCTCAGCAGGAGGAGGCTAACAAAGAGAGCAAGGGCACAACGCTAAGTACATTGATCATGAACTAAAAGCACTGTACCTTTGTCGTCTTAGTTTTTTTCTTCTGTGGTACTGGCTTCTTTTCCTCTTGACTAGCCTGTCCTACAGCAAGTGCAGCACTTTGCAATGCACTCCCTTTGACACCTTCTTGCTGCAGAGAGAGAGAGAGAGAGAGAGAGAGCTAATAAAATAAAAACAGGACACTTTCACTTGCCTCCATCTTTCCAAGGATGGCAGCATTCCCAAGTGCAGTATTCAACTTGCTAGGATCAATTCTTGAGAACAAATTCTGTTGGGAAGCATCAGAGCTGCAAAGAGGAATGATGGCATATTACACTTGATTTAAATAATACAATACAGTTATTAAAATGGGTATGCGTGTGATTGCAAGATGAACAATTAGAATATTCTACATGGTGTAAGGGCATCAATATGCATAATGACTGAGGGTTGCTTAAACACCTACATGATGAACATGTACTACTACAAAGTTTTGGAATTGGAATTAGACAAAAACATGAAGTAAAGCCACAAGTAACATGCAGCTATAATAATAATTACATACTTGTCTCCCCCTTCTACTTCTCCCCCATCTGGAGGATCCACACTGTCCTTCAGTAAAGGATGAAGCTTCGACATTGCCTCATCAAAGTTTGACACATCAGCCGGAGGACTTCCAAAAGACTGGGCCTGCTGAGGCGAAGTAGGAGACTTTAAAGATGGCGAGCGTGGCTTGACGGGAGGCGGAGTCAGAGGCTTCAGTGGTGAAGTTGGTGATTTTTGAGGTGGAGTGATTGGCCTAAGAGGAGGAGTCTGGGGCGGAGTCGACCTTCCTAGGGGAGAATCCGACCTTCCTAAAGGAGGAGTCTGTCTTCCGAGAGGTGAATATGATCTCAAAGGTGGAGAATTGGTTGGCTTTGGTGAGACAGGAGGAGGAGTTTTTGTTATAAGAGGTGGAGTCTTTGGCTGCTCGGGTGTTCTTACCCTTGGGCTAATGGCAGGTGATGGAGACTTTGGTAGGTCGACTTTCTCCTCTTCTTTTATGGAATCCTTAAATTCACTCAAAGTCTATAAATGAAATTTGCAAGCATCATTATAAACACACACACACTCACTACCTAAACATTAGTTGAATGTAAGACAACATCTCTCTTGATAAGATAAACAAGACAGGCATGCTCTTACATGTACTGGAACAAATTTATTACAAGTACAATAACTAATTTTTCTACATTTTTCTAACACTTTTGCATAAACAAAGATGCAAACAAGCATACTTGTTAATGCCTCAAATGTAAAAGACAAGATGTGAAAAAAACTACAAATAAGGACTGAATACATCAAAGAGACAAGATATGCTGCAGTGGCTATTATACTCCAGTTACTCTACCATTACAACTCATGATAATACAAATGGTACTATACCTCGTTAAATACAGGCTCATGCGATGCTTCAGGTACGTCTGGTGAGGCAACACGTCCTGTTGAGCTAGTGCTTGAAGTACGGTGAAACTAGAGGAAGAGGGAATATATGGAGTGATTCTTAGTAAACACTGAAGTGATAACAATAGTGATGATGTGTAGTCTAAGTGCTGACAATATGTAGGAGAGGGGAGTTGAATCTGTCATTCATAGGCATAGCTATCATACCAATAAACAAGGTTAATATCATTCAGAGCGTACCACTGTAGCTTTGAATAGTAATTAGGGCTACAGCTCGACAAAGACAACAATTATATCGCATGTAAAAGAGAGATGGCGAGTAAACAGGGAGTAGAAGGGGCTCCCTGCTGTCCTGTACTCTTACCGAGTTTCTCCTGGCAGCGGCAGCAGCGAGTTCTATCCTTTCTTGCGAAGCTTGTCTCTCGATCGACTTCCAATCTAATTATGAAGATCAATTATTCATGATTTAGTTATAAAGTGACACGCCCCTTGCTACTTACAATTCCGTGACTGGTTGAAATTCTGCATGTTTCTGCGGTAAACAACACCAGAAGTAAGGCTGTTGACGGCATCTAAAGGACAAAAGTGCATAAAATGCAAAAATAAGCCCAGCCTGTGGACTCACCTACTGCACCAGAAGAGCTGGTCCTTGCCATAGCCTGTCCTGAGGTTGCCTTAGGGCTTGCTAGATTAGACTCACTGCTCCTTCGATTTGATTCACTAGAACTAGCAGTTCTATGAGCAATAAAATACTTGTCAAGCCACATAATACAATAAGTATAAGCACTCGTTTGCATATTATACTATACATATATACAAACCTTAGAGAAGTAGCATCTTCATTCGTTTCTTTAAATTTTCTAGCCGGGGTGGGTGAGCGATCACACACATCTACACATTAAGAGAATGACAATAATGAGTCTATAATGCCGTACTACACAAATACATACGTTTCTTGTTTGGCAGTTGCTCCTCTACTCCTTTTTTCATGCTCTGAAACATGCTCCTATACCAATCGCTCCTATACCAATCGCTCCCACTTCCTGCGCTAGTGGACAATATGTCTTCCTCCGATGAAGAGGCTATGCCGCTTTTATACCCGCTGGTCGAGGAATGATACTCCGTCTCGAAATGATCCTTCTCTGATGAAATGTCTTTAAAATCTGACGAGCTGGTCTGGCTCTCCGGAGTGGTAGGGGTAAAGTCATTCTGAATAGCAGTAAGCATATCAATGATCTCACTGCTAGTATCACGCTCGGCAACCTCAGCTGAAGCCTCCTTCTTCACTAGCGTATCTGATATGACGATTGGGTCCTCTTTAGATTCCAACACTGCAGGAGTACTGCTGCTGCTGCCTATAGTAACGGGTTCAGTAGTAGCTGGTGCATCATTAGCAGCAGTGTCATTCAGTGGAACAATAGTACTAGTTCCTGCGGGTATCCTCTCCTTGCTAGGAGTGCGGACTGGTTTCGGTTTCAATTGAGGAGGTGGAGCTGGAATCTTAATGCCAGCTACGTATCTAACTTTCTCAGGCTGAACAACTGGTAGTGGGGCTTTTCCTTTCACGGAAGGAGGAGGAGCTGGCACTTTTATTCCGGCTATATGTGCGCCAACAACTGCTTTCTTTCCTGCATCAGACCAAGCACGAGAGCGAAAGGTATTTAAATCCAGTGAACTTTGTCTTGCATGTCTCCCAAGAGTAGAAGACTTGGAGCCAAAATTATCAACTGGTGTTGTAGAACGAGGCGGATAATCGAACGTGCGGAAGGTGATAGAACTTTTAGGTGATTTATCAACAGCTTTGGTACTATTTTAAAATAAAATAAAACCTGTTAGAATATGATAGCTTAATAATAATTACCAGGTTAGATCCAGGTTTGTTTTTGATGCGGCTATCAGTCGCTGTGCTTCGTGGTGCTTCATTGTAGAGGTTGATACTCCGTTGATATTCAACAATATATCACCTCCTATCAGACCACTCTTCTGAGCCTTGCCACCAGGAGTAACCTGCATTAAACATTAAGAGATAAATAGTACACAATTAATTAGCTAAAATGTGACACTTTAAATTTGTAACAATTAATCATCATTGACAAGTCCAAAGGAGCTAATGAATATTAACAAACATTAATGTCATAATATTGATGTCAATATGGAATGACTAAATTATTTTAAAGGGAAATTTATTGCTATAACTATTAAATGCAAGGAATTTACAACTCTTTCATACTATAATGCATTTTATTAGCCATAACAGGGATTTTGGGTTTACTCAAGTATGTGAGATGTACTAATCACAACACAATAGAACAATCGCAATGATCACTACTACTACTACAGTGTTTTTCTCACTCTCTTTCTCATCTTGATAATTTCAAAGTTGAGAGCTGTACTCGTATTAAAAAGAAATTATAAAATTTAAGCAAATGCCCCATGTAGCTGGCTCTACTCCACTGGATTGCATGTTAGGTCTTCTTCACACTGTGTACATGCTATAATTGTATTAGTAAACCACTAATGTTTGCATACCTTTAATATTAAATGAACACCCACCACAATTAACTACATATAGTAGGTGATCCCACGGTATTGGATCAACTAAGTCAATTAAACTACATACTAGAGTGAATGTCTCGGGTGGCTGAGCCATCATATCACGGCTCAACATTCTGTAAACAATTAAAATAACTCAAATAGTTGAGAATTTACAGTAGAAAATTAAACTCCCAAGCTCTGGAAATCTTATAGGACTTTGTTGATACACGTAAGATGACCCACCACATAGTGGCTTCATTTAAAATTTAATATTTGTAATAATAATAATAATAATCAACATACACTCCAAGATTAAACTCTATACTATGACTATAAAGGCGTTATATTGTGGCTATAATATTGAAATGGCTGTATGAGACTTGTTATGGTATCGTCTTCAGTAATCACGCCAATACTGTCAATAAACAGAGGGCACACACTCTCACACCCTGTATGCATATACATATGTGTCACATAAACATTATTGTGCTGCCTAAACAGCATACTTAAATCACCATAGAAAGATGCATAATAACAAACTCAAAAATACAATAAACTATTATTTCTGATGAATTTAAATCGACCATTAGGATAGAATGCATTTTTAAAGCTATCATTACAGGATAAGGGTCAGTATATTCTGCTGTCAGTTGTAACAGGCTGAGGTGTAAAAAATGTTTTGAATGTCCACATTAAACAAACTGTTGGGCACTGCCAGGAGCAGAAGGTAATGGATTATATGCATCATTATCATAGAAACAATCAATAATCATAAATAGAGACAAGCTCTATAAAATCATACTATTTTGTTTATTGGTCAACACGGAGCAAAATTTCACGGATCATAGGCCCAGACTACTTCTACATGCAGTGGTGATTGGTCTAACCTTTCCTATCTTCAGTGGGGAACGAAACTCAGCTCCACCTTGTAGAGTGAACCCCCATGGCCCGCCACCCTCGAGTGCTATGACAAAAGTTTCCGGAGAAACGTTGGTGACAATCTCGTCCATGGCTCAAAGTACACCAAGAGAACCGCAAAATCCAATGGAGGTTATTTTCTAGATATCACTGACAGATTGGCTGTGCCCTGCGCGTGCTAGCAATACAAGTCAGAGCACCAAGCACCCAAGGAATTATCCACGAACCATTCGGCTACACCGTAACGCAAGTGCTATATTTATTATTGAGCCACTCCTACAGTGATGGGTGTGTTGTGAAAAAAAATTTTTAAATTGACCATAAGTCATAATATTATAGAGATTGTATTCTATACAAGTGAACAATCAGTACAATTATAAATAAAATTGAAGAGAAGACATTGCATGGAGATTGTTGCAGTTTATGTGTGCTAGCCCTGCTTTTAGAGGATACCAAATCCTTTGGTGAAGAATATAGCTTTGAGGAGTTTCTCTTTCATGAGATCATTGGAAGGATACGGCGGGAGATCAAGTACATTCGAGCAAGTGTGAGCTACTGGTAGTCTCCGGAAATTGTCTCCGCCATCCATACGCTGTATTATAAGCTGGGGAAATTAAAAAAAGAGAAAATTATTATTAAATCAATGGTCCTAGTGGTGTTTGAACTACACAGAGACTGAAACAACTAATCTGTCAACAAGGCAGCATTGATCGGATTTCTAAAATCGCAACACAATGTCACGACGCTATTTTAGACAAAAGATCATTCAAGACACAAACATTTCACTCATAACTACAACATGCTGTAAGCCAAACAAAGCAGGATGGTATACGAATGATATAAGCTGTAATCGAGAGAGAGATAGAGCTGTCTTACTTTTAGACTCTTTACACCAGCAACAGGAATTCTGTTACTACCAGTCCAGAATACTATCAAAAAGAAAAGGAACTTGATACATAGATAAAATAGTAAACATAATAATTATACAGATTGCAGAAACTGTCAATCTGTGTGTGTGTGTGTGTGTGTTCAATCATTAAATGATATCAAAATGCAAAGAATGTACAAATGTTGACAGGATTGGCACAAGTCATGCTTCAAGGTAAGAGAAAGGGTATACATACTCAATAGCTGCTTCTGTGCATCTGGAGAGAAATCGTTAACAACAGCCCAGAACGACTGAATGGCAGGATGAGAGGGAGTATATCCATTAATATATGTGGTGTGCTCCATAAACTCATTGAAATCATAGGATGAAGAACCGGAGACAAGGGCCATCAATTCATCTGGATGCAACGTTAACTAATAATAATGATGATATGTAAAGGGTCTTATAGTAGAGAGGGTTCATACTTACAAACACGTCACTCTTAATGTCGCAGACTTTCATGAAGCCTTCAACAAACGACTCAAACTGCTCCTTGATGCACTCGGTCAGCTCATATTTCACATAAAGTTGAACAAACTCTTTTTTATTGAGTTTAGTCACTGGTTCACTGGCTCCCTCTTTCTTCAGTGGTATGGTTATTACTGAACCATATATATTTCTTGTGACCTGTGTGTGTGTGTGTGTGTGTGTGTGTGTGTGTGCGCGTGCATACATACAATTATATTATAATCAAATAAACAGTGTTTATTTTGCTTGAGGCATGCCTGAAGCTATACAAGGCAAGCCAGAAAACAAAATTCCCTCACAAGCTGTCAATGGCACTGTACCTCAAAAGTTATGTTGTAGTCTTTCTCAAAATCATTGCCATCATAAGTGAGTATCCCTCTTAAGTGTTTACCGACCGACGGCTTGAGAGACTCAAGATCTTTAAGACTCGGAGTACTGAAAAAGAAGAAAACATTATTACTCTTCACGAGTATTTTAAACAAGAGATACTAAAGCATTTATTGCTTCAGTGGCCTCTCTTCTCCTCACTATGATAGTAGCTTCCTGTACAGTACGGGAGGGAAGGGGAGGTCGACTATGACTCCATTGTATATTGCTAAGGCACAGATCATACCAACCAAGTGATAGCACTGCCTGTCATAAGACTCAATGGGCTCAAGCTAAAAGAAAGAGAACATAAAGAGGATATAGAGAGAGGCTATTCCATTGCTGATACCTGCTGTCTAAACCAGATGTATCTTGACTCATCCTCCTCGTAGAACATACCAAAGTCTGGATTAAGCAATTCTCTGATCAACAGCATGAAGAACTCTTTCTGTACTCCGCCCTCATCAAAACCTTCCTCACCTTCAAACTGAACCTACCAATACAATAGTATCATTATTCATTGTGCAAATAATGTCATGATAAATACACTGTATATGTACATGTACATTAGCATAATTACACAATGCACATGCATGTATGGGAAATGTACATGCATTGGGTATGGACAATATGCAATTTGTAGCAATATCCCATTCACACATGGTATTATTTATATTTTATTATTGGCTACCAACATAATGTAGTCATAATGGGCCAATGATATGTAGACCATAATAGGCCAACTAGACTAATAAGTGTAAATCAGATTCGTACAATATGGCAATGATGCAATGACTGTTATCATTATATCAATTTCACTTGACTGGGAGTAATGGAACATTTCTGGCTATAATAACACAGAACGACATCAAGGAATGACAATAATCTCATTTGCAGACCATAAAAAGTGTGTGTGAGCAGTATACACATACATGTACAGAACAGTACATGGATGTAGATGTACATGTATGTGGAGAGGAGCATTATAAAGTAAAGGTACATGTACATGTATAGAAAAAATGGACACATACTTACGTGTGTGTGTGTGTATGTGTGTGTTACAATAAAATATTTGTGGTTACCCTCAACTATTGACCCAGGTAATCGACCGTAACAATCAGAACTTAGAATTAATATGAAAATAAGAAATTAAAAACACCCGACCAGGAGGAAGGGTAACTCACAAGATATGGAAGATGATAATAATTTGAAGATGCATATTAAAATAATCAACACAAACACGCATTAAATTTGAATAAAGGCATGTAAATAAATAAATAAATAAATATGAGTAGTAGAGTATATTTATAAGTATTAGTGTACACTGCATGAGTGAGTGGTTAAAGACATGCAACTGACAGATGGTCACAAGATAGTATCATAATAATAATACTAGTAATAATGTATGGCTTGATAGTGTGTAACAATAATGAGTGTGTTCAAGGAATGAGGGAATTAACATGTATCTCATTCTACATGAAGTACTACGTATCAAGCAAAGAAAACTAGATATACATGTACTATTAGAGGTATATCATAGTCAATTGGAATGCAATTCATGAAAATGAGCCAGTGTATTCAGGTACTAGTCATCATGTGATGCATACCAATGAGAGACAATAGTGCCCAGTGTAGTCAAGTCACAATCAATGCAAGTTGAATGAAGGAAGGTATTTGCTTTGTATAAACTATAGACAGGATTCGTAGTAATACTACACTACAGGACAATCCTCTAAATTCTACCTCAGGCAAAGTATATCAATACAATACATGAAACAATACCAATGACACATTCTCAGGTAACACACCATAGTGATTCCCTCTACTCCATAAACCACACACACACACACACACACACACACACACACACACACACACACACATACACACACACACACACACGCTACACGTACATGTAGCTGATAGTTCTTTGTACACAGCCTACACATAGCATACATTGTGGTTTTCTTTGAAACAATTTTAATTATTGTCCTGTAAGAGACATACGTGTAAGATTGTGTGAGAGAGTAAAAGGCAGCTCATAACTCTATTCCTTCATAATAATTCATATCAAATGAATGGAGGACAAAGACACTCATTAAACTCTGTGCTAATCACTGTGTCCACCAACAATTACTACAGACAAATACCAGAATACTTACAACAAATTACTTAATTTTAATTAATTGGGGCGAGTCCGTCATTATGACGCTGTAAATTGCGCATAGCATGGCGTGGCAACTGTATCATGGCAACAGTAACCTGGCAACAGTAGCTAACAACTGTAACCTAGCAATAATAATTAAATTTCTATTTTTAACTTTTTTCCCAGCAAAATTTTTTTATAATTTATTTTCCTAAAAATTTTGCCAGAAAAAATTATTTTTCACAGGAATTTTACCATTAAATTTATTTTTCGCTGGAAATATAGAAAATTCTCTTCTTTTCATTTTAGGCAAAATTTATAGTACAGGGACTTCGGCTTAATTTTGAAGCAACTTTAAAAATTCATATAAAATTTAAATTTGATCCAAATCAGCTTAAACTTTACACACAACATAAGTACATGTATATGCATCAGAAAAAAATATAAAAATTAGGAATTCTCTCCTTTTCATTTTTGGCGAAATTTGGCCAAGCACCCTGTACTATAGTACAGGGACTTTGGCCCGATTTTGGAGCAACTTTAAAAAATTCATAAAAAATCCAAATTTGATTGGAATCAGTTTAAACTTTCTACATCACATAAGTACATGTATATGCATCAGAAAAAATTATAAAAATGAAGAATTCTCTCCTTTTCATTTTACGGCAAATTTTGGCCAAACAGTCTGTACTATTATAATACAGAAGCTTTGGCTTGATTTCACAGCAACTTTAAAATTAGTAAAAATCCAAATTTTTCTGGATGCATGTGCATGTACAATATGTACATACTCTGAGTGGTTTGAGAAGGTCGCCAGTATCGTGACTCCTCAGTGCTGTAATAGCATCACCAAGTATGTGGTCTCTTCTCACGTTAATGACAAAAGCCATTGGAGACACATCACTGATGCCCTCAGCAGAAAACCAGTTCAGTATATTCCTGTGATGAGCATGCGCTACTGCCTCCTACAGAAGAGCATGAGTAGAAATGACATGCAAAGAAATATTAGTCAAATTTTAAATTTTTTAAATAAAATACTTCAAATAAATGAGTAAATATTTATGCTTTTATGGATAAAGTTCCTGACTGACCATTTGTCTGTATCGTCCTTCAATCTGCATCAGTTCAGCCTTACCAGAAGCATTGAGTACAAATGAATACCTCATGAAGAGCACCCTATCAACCTAACGATTAATATGTATATGTACATGTACATGTATGTGAAACAGATATTATCCCTTACCCTGTTCTGTTTGTAAGAGAAATAGTCCTCTCTCAGATCGCAAGACTCAACTATCTCGTCAACATAAAACTTCTGGTGACTCACGGGCTCCTTGTGCTTCTTGTTACACTACAAAATGATGTACAATTTCAAAAAAGACTAAAAATAATGCTAGATGTACATGTAGGTCTTACTTCAAAAAGCCAGCGAAGGACTTTGATCCCTTCCTGGAGAGCCCAGGTTTGATCGTCGGTGAGATGAATTAGGTTAGGTCTTCCATATAAGGTCTGGCCACTCTGCTCTATCCTGTCTCTACCTCCAGCTATTATCCTTGCTATGGGGTACCTGAATATCTATCAATAATAATAATAATAAAATAATAATAATAATAAAATAATAGTAATAATATTAAATTAATTAGTGTTGATGGACAATATAATATGAATAATTTCAAAGGATAGTATCATGTGCATTTAATACAATTATTGGAAGCACAAATTATAGCAACAACGCGACTTAAAATAAACATGTACATACATTATACAATAATTTGATGGCTCTAGTACATATGTACCAGCAATACTCTATTCTAGCTGCATACATTTACAATGCACTCAATATTTCAGCTAGGCATATACAGTATGTACCTCAATCCAAGTCTGTAATACTTCCACTGGACCATTGAACAACCAACTCTCTATAAAATAAAGCAATGAAAATAAGACATAAATAATGACAATGATTACCTATTATGTCTTTGGCTTTGTCACTGATGTACAAGAAGACTTTGACAAAAGTAACAATTATACTGAGGCAGGCTGGATACTCTTGAGCGAGTGGATACGCTAATATTATATGGAATATTCTCAGTGATTCTGGTGAGGGGTGTGGCTCGGGTAGATTGGGTAACAGTCCTGTGTTGAATGCAATCAGTATCATGTGATCAATGTCGTGCGATGAGAGTCTTTCTCTTAATAATTCAAAAGAGGTGGTGAGTTGAGCATGATCCAATCTACACTCGTGAGGACTGCTTCTTTTTTGACTAAAAGAAGAGGAAGAGAAATCAAATGGTCAAAAAAGATGCACAAACTGCACATACATGTACATGTACATGTACATGTATACTATTACTCGAGCTACTCCCCCAATTGATAACCCTACTCGCCCCCAACTAATGCACCTCTTGATAAATAATCACACATGCCTCAGGTGGTTCATTGCTAAGATATGAAGGATTACATCTACATGTACATGTACACCTATGATGAAAGGAAGTGGACTCAATAGAAAGTTTTTACTGTGGAAGTCATGTAGAAGTGCAGTAATTAGGAGGGTGAGTTATTTTAATTACAGTACATGTGTATCTCCCTACATTGATTGTACATGCTTTAGTAGCAACTCAACTATGCAATAATTAAATCAATTTTGTCCCCTTACTCAAGTAGGAATGACCCATTGACACAGCTCGGTGAAGAGAAGAACATTTTGAGTGTCTGAAGAGTACCAGTGTAGTCATTGGTGTATCGTGCTAGATCAAGCATCTGCTTAAGAGTCCCGAGTGAGAGGAAACAAGGAGCATCTTGTGACTGTATGTCGCTGAAATCAACTGGTAAATCCTACAAATAATAACAAATACATGTACATGTACAGTACATGTACAATGTAGCATATGACATTTACATGTATACATGTACATGTACATTATTCATGGTTCAAAATGGTAAGCATAAATGAATGTAGTTTTATACTTAATAATAATTAATCAATTACCTAATCAATAATCATGCATTCAATATCCCACCCGTGCATAAAAAAATTAATATTATTCCATCATCATCATTCTCAAATATCAACCTCCCTTCAGTGTACCTCTTCCTGATCAGGTAGAAGTATAGTAGCAAAAGTGTGATTACCACCAGCAAAAACACCTTTAACAACATTACTGTTGGCTGGTCTTGGGCTACGTAGATAGCGCTTGGGGGAGCTCCAGCGACCCATGACAGGGATGGACTGCTCTGAACTAAAAGTAGTACCATTACCCAACTGGCCCATCAACCCTTGACCAAATGTAATAAGATCACCAGTGTACTTAGCTAACAGAGTAGTGTGATACCTATTGAGGAAAAGTAGAGGAAGATTCACATGCAGGTGTAACTGGTGTACGAGGAAAATTAGATTGTATAATGAATGCTAGTCCTCATTATTGTGTGATGCTTACCTGCCACAGACCACTTGCTGTACGACTACTGTCATCAGTTGCATGATTGGAGCAGGACGAGAATAGACCGCGCCTCTAGCACCACGCCCCAACTGACCATACTCATTGGAACCAACTGTATATATGTGACCACTCTAGAGGAGAAGGAAGAGAATAAATATCGAAGGAAAAAAAATAGGGAATATGTAGAATATTATAACAGAAAAAGAATATGTAGAATATTATGTTAGAAAAATAAAATATTACTTTTCCTTGCTCTATTAGTAAACTTACCTGGACCTGGAATACAGTATGGTCAGTGCCACAGGCCACGTGAGAAACTGCATATCGTCCCATAAACTCATTCAACGTTGGATAACTTATCTTAGTTGTCACATGACCAAACCCACACTGAGCCCGCCTACACACATAATTAAAACACAACACTATAAAATCAGGTACTATTATTATACAGTACCTGTTGTCTCCCCATAGAAAGACCCCACCGGACACAGTGAGAGCTGCACTGTGATTAGATCCACAGATAAGCTTAACAACTGGTGTTGATATGAGGTGGGTTATCTGAGTAGGAGCAAGGACGCGGGACAGACCCTTGGAATGTCCCAACTGAGAGGTTGTATTCTTACCCCAAGAAAAAACACGACCATCTAATAAAAAAAACAAGCATTATTAAAATACATGTATGCATGAAGAATTACTCCTATAAAATGGTGGGACTAGTACCTTGTGTTAGTGCTAAGGTGTGGTGGTCACCGCAAGCAGCTTGGACAACAGGACGACCAAATGGCAAACTCAATATACTAAAAAAATCCAAAAATTATCATAAAGCATCACAATGTAGAGCATATGCACTAATAAGTCCATGAAACAGAACAACAAAATCCTTATTATGCACTAGCAGAATGCAGTGATAATCTGCCATTACTTTAAGTTTTCAGTCACAAAACAAGTATGCATGGTGTTAGGTTCATACCTTGGTTTGCATATTGGTTGTAGTGTTTTCAGTCCGAGCTGTCCCTCACTGTTATCTCCCCATGCATACAAGGACCCGTCTGACGAGAGTGCTAAACTGTGCTTCACTCCACAGCTAATGCTGGTTATGATGGTATCATCAAAAGTATCAATGTGAGCTGTGAAAGAAAAAGAAGCCATTACAGCATATAGCAATCATGATATTTCGTGAATAATAAATTATTGGATTATTTTATTAATAATTCTTTGCAAAAATTAAATTCCTTATTTTATATGCCACACCTTTTAAAATGAACTACATGTAATTATTATTGCAAAATTACGTGTAATAGTAAATGAACCATTTTGTAAAACTTTTAGGAGTACTGTAGTATCGTAGTATCAGTGAATTATTTATTCTTGGCAGCTAGTGTGAGTACATAATGACCTATACAGAACTATCCTGTACCTCACTACATTATATTGTCATTCATTCAATAAAACAAAAGGCAACCACCACAGAAGCAGCTGAACATTGCAGCTGCAGAATTCCTGCCATTAGTGCTAAGAGTCAGTAGAGTGTTCCACTCATTATCACCACTGAACTAACACTGACAAAAATGTTCGTTATAAATATTTCTTTTCAGTGGCGGTAATAAAATCGATCATTTTGCAAGTGAAAAATGCAACACAAATACTTTGCGTTAATTGGACATCATTAATTATTGGATATTATTTTAATAACTATACGTACTGGTATCCTAAAGTACCTGGTATCATTATGCATGACGTTTTTTGCTCAATCCCTAACTGTCCGTACTGGTTACTCCCACAGGAATAAAGGCAACCTGACTCCAACAATATGAGCGTGTGTGAAACACTGGACGCTAGGATTGAATGAAAAATATCCTTAAATAAAATGGTACGATTGGAGAAAAATACATAAAACAAACTTTCTCCATCATTCCTATCACTCATTGTTTATAAGCACATGTTCACAGTTAGTATAATATATTAATTTTCAAAGGCTAGCTGTATGAGGCACTCTCAAGTAAAAGGTTTAAGTGCATCATGGCCTGAAGTAAGTCTTACCAATGTACTTGATCTTTTTGTCACCAAAGGCAGTGTTTGGTCTAGCCTCCATCACACATTTTTCCTTCACGTCCAAGCCCAGTGCTCCATCGTGAGCTTCGCCCCAACAAAACATGACGGAAAGCCTATTTCTCTCGTAGTAGAATCTGTAACAAAGTACGAATAAGCCTAGCGTAGTGAGGAGATGAGCTGACTGAGTTGAATCTACTACGCGAGAAGCTTCTTTATGGGCGTGGGTATCGCATTAAACCACGCCTACTAGACTAATGTTTTTAATGTTTTTTAAAAGGAGAACTTTGATATTATGATAAAAGCATACTATGTGAAGTTAATCTGTAAATCATAAAAGGGCAGAGCTTGTGAATATTAGTCTATCAATCCATTGCAGATAGAAACTTCAGTATTCTCTGGACTGAGTCTAAACCAGACCTTGTGGAACCAGAGCTCTACAGAAAAATATATAGACAAAGTGAAATAATACTTTGTGGCATGAAAAGCTATTAATTAATAATAATATATATATATTCCTTACAGCCATGTTCATAAATGATAAGAATTCTTTAAGAACTTTAATAAGTGACGAAAAGTTACCACCAGGCAACTTGTTCTTTACATTGAGAGCGAATTCCTAGCAGGAGTAGACACATTATGCTCAAGGATCACATTAATTGTACATACTGAGTCATTCTGTATCAATAGTGCTACCAGTACAGCTGAATATGATGATATAATGGAGTCCTCCATGTGCTTCCCTGCTTGTGATAAAGCTAAGAGAAAAAATAATAATAATTTGTACAATAATTTATAATTGTAATGTGTTAATCAGGCTTAATTACCAGAATCAAAATCTTCCCGTTTGAATATCAGTGGATCAAAGCTGATGTTCCCTTCCTCCTCCTCCTCCTCTTCCTCCTCCTCTTCTTCCTCATCCTGTTCTTCTAGGAAATGAATGAATACATTATGTTCATGAATACACTCAATGATTGACTGATTGATGATTCTTACTGTCTTCAGCTTTATCATCTTCCATCTTCTCTTCCTTTCTTTGCTTCCTTTTCTTGGGTACACTAGATACAAAAAATTAAGAACATACATGTACAATGTCCAAGAACAGTATGTTTGCTGTAGCTGTGTCTATACACTCACGGTTGGATGCCCGACTTCATTCTTGATGTAAAAGTCGAAGTTAAGTCTTTTCTAGCCTATAAATTATAAAATACACCGAAATACTAACAAATGAACCAGTTTGTAGGCCACATGCATATATATGTATCTAACTACATACAAATCATCATACAAATCATTAAGATTGGATTGCCATAGTGTAGTTAGTACTAATTACTTTAGGCGACTTGGCAGGAGACTCGTGTGATATGACTTGTTTTGTAGGCGTGGGGACTTCAACACTAGCAGACTCTCCTCTCTCATAATGAGTCAAAAACAACTAGTCATGATGATAATAGTAACTTTATTTTTTGAAGAAGAATTAGCAGCAAACCTTCACTAGAGCTTGAGTAGCCAGCATATCCCCGTAAGGGTTACTGCTAGTAGAAGGAACATCAATGAAGACGGAGCACATGTGCTGGACATTAGTGGAGCTCTCCTCCAGTAGGTTAATCAATAGAGACAAGCACTACAAAATAAATCACACAAAAGACAATAATAATACTCTCTGTACATACGTGTAGAATATTGATTGCAATCAACATGTGTATAGCGTTATTTTTAACTTTTAAAAGTAAACTCACGAGGACTAAGATATCAAATTGTTGAATAACCGGTACACTCTGAGCCAACTAATGATACAAGAGAATTCATAACACCATGTGCCATGCATGTGGAGCACATGTGTTCCTTACCTTGAATGTAAAGTTGCATATCGAATCAATTATTTTCTCTTGCTCTCCGACTCGGTATGAAGCGAGAGCATTATCATGAGTAATATTTAAAAACACTCTCAGAGTCCCCAATAGAGTCTCAGTCACTATACACCTACTCACAAATGACAATATGGTAAAAGGACTTATAAAAATCATTAATTACGTATGTCTTGTGCTGAGATCCTTTGAAATAAGATAATCTCCTAATAGTACTAAAAATCTTAACAAATTTAAGACTCCATAACACATTCATCCTGTACAATGTAGTACATACTTGGATATTTCTGATATAAATATTGAGCCATCAAACATAGTCAGGTAACTCTGGTTTCCTTTACTCATACACAAAATCTAACCATTAACACATACAGTAATACCACATAAACTGCATGTACATATGATTCACTACTTACATTTTCCAATAGTTTAAGTTGCCTGAACAACTTCATAAAATGAACATCAACTTCTCTCTCTTCTCCTTCTCTCTCTTCTTCTTCTTTTCCCTCCTCTTCTTGGCCACTGGTGAGGTACCCAGTGCACTGTCTAGTTAATGCTATTGCTATAGAAGTAAAGAGGAGGTTCATAATTCATATTTATATCAGCTTAAATAAACATCACATGAACTTTTTGCTTGTCACAGATTTCGTGACAATGGAACTAATGGGTTTTTTGCTTGTCACAGATTTCGTGACAATGGAACTAATGGGTTTTTTGCTTGTCACAGATTTCGTGACAATGGAACTAATGGGTTTTTGATAATGCTATTAAACGATGTCCTTTTACCTCTGTTAGCAATAACGTCAATAGCCCCAAGAGTCCTCAGATCTTCCTTTAATGATGAAACACTAGTATTCATTGATGAGGTTAGACTCAGGAAACACTCAGTGGCCAGCTCTCCTAACTGTACATGAAACACTAATGTTAATGTGTTATAGAATGGATTTACTTAGCTTACACTTAATGTTGAAGGCTGCAGTGAGATGTCAACTGTCTCATTAGTATTACTAGAGTCAGAATATTTAGCATGTATCAGTAGTGGTGAACACTTCTTTAGCAAAGCTCTACAAATGATATAAAACAAAAAAATGGATAATTCTCTCATAGTCATTTTTTCAAAATACCATGTACTATAGTACAGGGGCTTCGGCCTGATTTTGGAGCAACTTTTAAAATTCGTAAGAAATTCAAATTTGATCAGAATCAACTCAAACTTTCTATGCAACATAATTACATGCAAATGTATCAGAAAAATGGTTAAAGCTTTGATCTTTTGATAGTATTATGCACATATTCCATCATTATTATTACTTAGATTTGTCCGTTATCTTCTTATACTCAGTGGCTGCTTTCCCTTCCAAAGGCGGAGGCTCCTCCTCCCCAGCAGGTGAAACTAAAAACTGATCCTTGACTGATAAAGCCATCACAAGCAACTCTTTAATGATTAAAAAATAAATAAATAATTATTAAAAAAGAAGAAGACACAGTAATTATAATAACCTGTACATTTCTTGTCTAATTCTGAAGGTTCGACATTACTTTGAGTCATTACAAAAGACAGCGTTACCAATGCAACCTTAAGGGCCTAAAGACATGTACATAATAAAATGAAAATAAATAAATAATTATTATATTCACTGGATGAGTCTGTGCATCTTTGAGTAGGAGCAGTGACTTCTTAACCAGACCAAGTGAGCGCATCTGTCTCATAAAATCAACATTCAGACACTGTTCGGCCAAATTGAGCGTACTACAAAAAATAGAACATATTTGATACAAATATTCAATAAATGCATGTACAAAATGAATGGAATACTCATACAATTACCTTAGGCAGCGAACTAATAATGGCTCTTCAGTTTTCATACTATCCAACAGATAAATGACATCATCTCTGAATCGAAGGTTCTCTCCGTGTTGGAGACACTCGTGGGCCTGACGTACATTACGAACTGTTATAGTAGACTAGAGGAAAAGATGCAGATATAAATTTAATAAATTTTATTAAATTATAAATTAGTGGACTGTATAAAAATGTGTGTCCTTACATCATCGTCATTCTGTTTCTCTTCTAAAGCTTTTGGCCACGTTAATGATCTTGAAAGACTTGGAATATCAGGCTAAATGATAAAAGTAGCACTGAAAGAAAAGCTACCAATGTCATGCTATTTTATACAAAACAGCCTAACTAAGTAGCACTGCTATTAACCTTATTTGATTTGGTCTTAGGTAGAGTAACACTGTACTGTACAGAGTCCTGCTTGACCTTGTAAGATGAAGTATCACTGGTACTTTTAGCTAATGGGACTGGCAAACCAGGGGCTGCTTCAGTCATTGGAGCAGCCTCTTTAATAGGAGTAGAACCGGTTGAACTAGTTGAGCTAGTTCTTTTAACAGGAGTAGTTGGTTTGACGGGGATTTCTGGTTCAGTCTGTGCTCCTTCGGTCTGTTCAACAGTTGACAGAGCTCTTGAGGTATTTTGCTTAGCAGAAGAGTCGGAAGTCAATCCAATGTCCCCTTCATTAGAACCAGTACAGGCCTCTACTAGTGGTGCTTCCTCACTGAGTGAGGCATCTCCTTTAGGCATTGGCTCCATTGCTTTAGTACCTTCTTCTTCTTCTTCTTGTTCAGTATTATCATTAGATCTCTCACCATCAGGGATGGTCTTTGGTTGAGTGCTAGCAGTCACACTGTTACTAGTAATCTCTTGCTCTGTGTCAGTTAAGTCAGAATCAGTGGTCGTGGGAGGAGGTACAACAGGAACGTCGTATAAAGATGAGAATGACGTCGGATCAGGAGGAACCGTAATAACAATAGTCGTAGTCTCCATTGTATCTTGAGCCTTAGTTGATGGATTATTTGCTGGTGTACTTTTCTCTTCTTTGTCTATTACTATAAGAAGACAAGCATTACAGACATAATAATGAAAGACTAACTGTCTAGTATAGTAGGAACTGGTTCCTCTTCCATATCTAAAAGTGAAAGTACAGACTCAGTAATAAGTGTATGGACAACATGTTCCTAATTATTACATGTACTTGTATGTACATGTAGCAGTCTATGCAATATATACAAACATTCAGTGCCACTAACCTTCCCCAACCCCTGTTGCATCTCTTTTTAAACAAGCCTACAGCAAGAAGAATGCATAATAGCTTAATATACCCAGTAGGACTTACCTCATCATCGCCAGTCTCTATTGTACTGGGTCTTTGTTCAGTAGATGATGGTGTGACAGTCCCAATGCTATCATTAGGAGGCCTCACTTTCCTCGGTCGTCCTCTCCCTCTTTTAACGACCGGTTCCTGACTCGAAGGAGTGCTAACAGCTGATGATGGCTTGGGGGTTTTCCTTGGACGACCCCTCCCTCTTTTCACTACTGGTGGTTGCTGACTGGAGGGCTCACTCTCAGTACCAGTAGACTCTTGAACCAGTTCTGATTCACTCGCAGTCGACTCGTTCATGGCTTCCTTTCGTATCTTTTTAGGTCTTCCCCTGCCTCCCTTAACAGGCGGTTTCTGACCAATAGATTCTGGTTCACTTGCAATAGAAACGTTAGGAGTGGACTCGTTTGTTGATTTTGGTGTCTTTCTAGGTCGGCCCCTCCCTCTCTTAACAGGCGGTTTCTGACCAATAGATTCTGGTTCACTTGTAATAGAAATGTTAGGAGTTGATTCGTTTGTTGACTTTGGTGTTTTCCTAGGCCGTCCCCTCCCTCTCTTAACCACTGGGGTAAGTTCCCCAGTAGACTCATCATTGGGGCCAGGTTCACTTTCAGTCGACTCATTGAGTGTCTTCCTTGAGTGTCCTCTGTCAGCAGGTTTCTGACTGGTAGGTTCAGATTCGTTGGCAGTTGAATCATCATCTTTGGATTCATCCAAGGGCTCCTTTGGAGTCTTCCTTGGACGCCCTCTGCCTCTTTTCTGTCCTACATGTAATCCCGAACTGGTCTTACTCGTTCCACCAGTTACACGGACCGGTATAGGCGAGTGATAATCAACTATTGGCATATCAAACTCATAGTCGCTATCATCAGAATGAAAATCAAAAACGTCGAGTTTAGAAGTCTTCTTTTTCTTAGTTCCTCTTTTTAGCGAAACAGAAGAGGAAGGTACTTTAAACTTGCTCGGTGGTAGGGGACGATATATGGTACGAGAGGGGGAGATGTGAAAGGCATAATGTCCACGGGAGGTAAGAGAACTTGAGGGTTTTGATTTCTTTTCTTTTAAGGGAGAAGCTTCAGACCCACTAGTGGACATGACCCTTTGATTAAAAATACAATTCAATTAAAAAAAAACTCAAAAAAGGACTTACTGTTATTACAATTATTAGTTGAGGGTAGTCTTACACCTGAGACTAAGGGAAATGAATCAAAGTATCACTGAAGATAATCAATAATGTACTAATTCTCTCGATCCCCCCTCCAAGTCCATGTGAATATTATAATTATTATTGTGGCTCACGTGATCTTTAACTTTAAGCCACTCCTTGCCACACCCACCCTCACACCCACGTGACAAAACGTGAATATAAAATCAAAAAAGAATGTATAGAAAAGCAGTTCATTAATGTCTAGCAGCATCAAAAAGAATGCATTAAAATTAAATAGCTCTTAGATCAGAATGATGACTGATAGTGAATGAGACAGACCCCTGAGTCTCTGCCTCATTTCCTTTCTCCATTAGTTTCATGGTACGTCTCTCACTCCCTCCATCAGCTGCTGGGAGTGTAGTCGATACCTGGCCCATGAACCTATCTCTCATCATACCATGATTCAATATCTACAAGGAGGAGAGAGATGCACAATTTCATTATGTTAGTCCTCTAAATTTATTTAATATCATGCTGCCATTTTTAAAAATTTTTATGTAAAGTATTTAAGCTCTAAAAATTGTAGAGTCTACATTCTGCACTATATATTAATACTGACCTGTACTTTAACAGTAGCGTCTTCAGGGTTCTTTACATAGAAGACAAGTTGAGTATCAAAAGCAGGGTCAAGAGTGTCTTTTTTAATGGAAGTCGCTACAGTGTTACCACCACATGTAACCTTACAGTATGGATCAGCCCCTGCAATTATAGGGAATTGGTATTAAAGCAATAGAGTGGTTGGTATTTTTACCTGCTCCACTCATGTCTTGTTTAGTAAGTCCTTGGCCACTGTGTAAGTGAACAATGACTTGGCCACGGTAAGGCTTGACACAACAACAGAACAGTGTACCACAGAAACCACGAGTGGGGTGGTCCTTTTTCAATTCACTGAAATAATTAAAAAATACAGTATAATATAACTAAAAGTACTATTAGTTTGAGCTATAGTTAATTCTTTTATAAATCAAGCTAACATACACAGGGTGAGCGTTCCTTTCCGAGAAGAACCTCAACAGAAACTGTCTCTCCTGGTTCGGCTCAAATGTTGACGGTATGATGACATAGCGTCCCTGACCCAGCGTGAACCGACCAAAGTTGCTACGGCGATTTATATAAGTCACACGCCCGACCTCTTTGAAGTTCATTGAGTGAATACGGAAGGTCCTGTTATCTTCAACCTATTTTGAACAAGAACAGGTGCTCAATATTTAATAAAGACATGTACATACTTTAACAATTTGGAATCCAATTGGAAAGTTAGGTAAAGGCTCTCCAGTGGTTTTAGCCTTCTTCGACATACGTGGATCTTTCTGCATGCAACTAACCATTACCTCCTCTTCCTCACGAAGAGTAAATAAATACTACAAGTAAATAATAATAAAATACGATTATTATTACTATAATGTACTTGAGGATTATTAGTGAAGGTATCTGGATGGTTAAAGCAGCCTCCAGCAGTCTTTTCTTTCCATTCACCGTGAAAGGTAGCATCGTGCCATGTCTTCTGTAAACTGAATGAGCTGGTGTTGATTATACGACAAATACTGCAATGACTGAACCAGGTCAACCAATCAGAAAACTCCATCCTGATGTACAGTGGAATGAAATTGTTACATTAAGTATAATACACATGTATATACATGTTATTTGTTTGTTGTGTGTGTGTGCTTATAAATTACCAAAACTCTCCATCGTCTTCAACTTTAAGGTCCATCTTGTCTTTCTCGCCCTTTGGAACACGTTTCCATTCTTCAGAACTATACAATAAGAAGATAAAGTGAGTGAGAGTGACAGACTGCCATTACTCATCACTCCATGCTCCGTTCCATTCCTTCTGTCCCCAGGGATTCCTCATTTTAATCATCATTAGTTTCTCTTTATTACCAAACAATGAGCTGAGCCCACTGGTAAGCTTCATCTACACACAAAAATACACAGTTAATACACACACACACACACACACGCAATAGTCTTTCATACCCTCCTAATATCAGTGATTGTATAAGCATGGCCTTTTACCAGACCACAGTCAAGTTTGGTTTCTGGTGATTCGCCTTCTTTAACCTGCAATTGATCAGAAGAGATAAAAAATCATAGAATATATTGAAATGACATACTTCAATAGAGCACGACATCATTGCATGATGTTCATGAGCACGTATCAATTCCTACAATGTAATAATAATAATAATAATAATAATAATAATATATGTACATCAAAGAGTTGTTTTCTTTTCTCTTCATCATCAGCGAGGTCACCAGACTGTAGAGTGATTGTTTCAGTCACTCCTCCAGTGAAATCAACCAGTGCATCACCAGTGAGTCCACCACTCAATGCCTCATAAGAACCGGCTAATCTAATAATAGTAACAAGCATACAGGCTATTAATAGAATCAACAGTTGTAGGCATCACTAAGAATACAAACACTGAATTTACTAAACTATTATTACTCTTACTTGGCATAAGCTTTCTCCAAGAGTGCACTCCAAAACTCATTTCCACTTTTACTCTTATTGTATATCAGCTTACCACCTTGAGTGGGGAGCCAGTCATCAATAACAACATCAACCCATTCACCAAATTGCCAGAAACGAAAGTGAAAGATCCCGGCATACCTCTCAGGGTGATTAGCATCCCATTCCTTAAACAAAATGTTTTTCATGTACAAGCATTGAGGTATTTTCACATTGGCATTGTTTTTGAAGTACTTTTGCAAAAGAAATGCACATCACTAGCAAAATCACTGTGGATTACTTTTGCCAGTATGAAAAGGCCTTTAGCTCTCATCATTTACCTGTTCATTAACATCAACTACAACTTTATTCCAGAGCCTTCGCTCTAAAGCAAGTGCAGAGCAGGCAGCGACAAACCAGCAGTTACCAACAGCACCTTGATTGAGGTCACTGGGATCCAGACCATCAACTATCAGCTTTGGATTAGAGCATATCTCCTGATAGAGAGAGAGAGAGAGAGAGAGAGAGAGAGGGGGGGAATTAATGGAATAGACATGCTGTTATCATTTTTGTGGCGTTGTTAAACACAGCAAATGATCACATAATAATAACAATAATAATGTGATTAAGGTGATGATGTATTGTCTCATATGTCTGTGTTAGCACAATATACTGGAACTATCTCAAAGTGTCAAATGATTGTGCTGAAAACTGTTTCCAAGCTGCATGGAGGCAATACAGTGGTATGTGACTATACGTGGGTGTGCTTGAGTACACTATGTGTATGTGTGCATAGGAGGGACCATAATTGGTTCAAAAGGAATGCAGTTAAGGTAATAATGATTCATCATAGATACAGTAGAGCTTAACAAAAGAAAACATCATCACCTCTCTTGTAATGAATATAAATTTGATGACATGCATATTGACAAAATGACAATTTCTAAATTTTGCATTCAAATAAATATCCTCCAACTTGCTATCTGCTACTTTTAAGGTGCACTCACTCCTGGTCGTTTCCATGTTATTTCCAAGTCATTCTTTCCACTGTGGAACAGTGATTGAGCGTTAGGAGGAAACTGCGGGTCTGTGAATTGCTCCCCTCGCCTCTGGTGATCCCTCTTCAGCTTAGAATAGTTTTGGTTGAGGAATTTGCGGACCATGACAGACCTTTGGATGCAGTCTTACTTCAATGCACTTTTTAAATGAATAAAATTGGTAAAAACCAGAGGAAAGTTTTAACACTACCTTCTTTTCAAGCTCGACGGCTCCTGTAAAACTCCAAAAATTTCAAGCAATTTTCTTGAGTACTAGCTCCACCTAAATTATCTCACGTGCACATGTAACGTAAATGGACGTCAAAGAAAAATAACCACGCCCATATTAACACTTTATCTAGCCACACCCATACCACGCCTATATAATCTATAAATAAACTAAAATGAGAGAATTATGACGTAGCTGACACATTGTTTATTCTTGGAGTTCTCTGACTTTCTCTCTCCTTCTCTGGTTCTCGTCTTCTTCTCACTCCCCTCTTTATTCGAATATATTATCCAATTCTCTTCTCATTTTGGAGTTTCAGCTACCCAGTAAGCATTAATAGTCAGCTTCCTATTATTTGTGAGTGTGTTTTTACTATGCATATAATGTTAATCATTCACTCTCATATATATCTCATAATGATATTTTGGTGTGTGTATTATATGCACGTCATAATGTTTCATTGCTGCATGTGTAATGGGTAGCGTCTGGCGATTAATGGGTATGGTTTTGGTACGCCCACTTTCCATGATTTACATGTGTAGCATTATGAAAAACTTCAAGTCAAAAAGAATCATTTTATTAGGTGAAAGTGCTTATACATACATGTAATGTGGGAATGAATTATATTATAGATTGTGAATGTATGTACATCTACATGCATGCATTGTAAATAATGAAATTAAATGTTGCATGTACATGTAGATGCTAACTTTGATACTGATACTAATGCATGTGTAATTTGATTTGTGACTTGTTTCATTTTTTAATTAGGATATCACTTGTGTGTGTGTGTACATGCTACATAGGTGTCACGTACATAATGCTAAGCTTTATTTTGTGATCATTTTTGAACTGCCAATCAAAGGATATCATTCATTGACATATAAATTAATAGAAAATGTATTCTCACCTTGATGTACTAGCATTGTAGTAGCCACAGACCAATGCACATTGTAACATAAAGCCAAACCACAGGCATGGTTACTAATTTTAGTTAGTGGTTATTAATTGCCGCCTTTTCTCATTTGTTTTGCTTTGAAATATACACTAGGAAAGTTTTTTGAGGCTCAGTAAATTGCTCCTACCTCATATTATTAGTCCACTTAATTCAAACTTGATTGATCTTTTACTTGTCTTGCCTGTTAGATATGTTGTAAGTACATGTATGCCAACTGTGGGAGTCTGTAGTCTTTTATCAGCAGCTGGTAGCTGTTGTCAGACATCATGGTAGAAGCTGGTTATAAACTAGTCTCCAAGCCAGATCATCCCCAGCCTACAGTCATTAGGGTGCCAGACTACACACCTTGGTCATTAACCTCGCGCCTGTGTATGTCGCAATAATAAATACCATAGAAACCTTACCTCATGTATAACCTATACTTATTATTATTATTATTATGATTTTATTATTATTATTATTATTATTATTATTATTATTATTATTTTCTTGTCAGGTTTGATGCTTCGTGTGACACACTTACTATTGATCTTGCAAAGGGATAAGAAGGAGCACACTCACATTAATGATGGCATGTAAAGACTACAGTAATGTTGCACTCATCGAGCCTCATCAGTTGGCTAGAAACTTACACTCGAGGGAAGATTATGTCTTATTAGACTGCAGGCCAGTCCTGGCTTATAACAATTGTCATATTAGTGGAGCTGTCAATGTTAACTTTACAGGTAAGGAATGGGATTGAGAGAATTATTGATAGACCTGCAAGTAGATGTACGATTACTATTACTTATTTAAACTTTGTTCACTATAGCCCCGTTTACACTACAAACCAGTTTGGATCAAAGCGGTTCAGAAACCAGCTTAATTGTGTCCACACCTAACTATTGTTGAATCGGTTTACAATGCTACATTGCATACATAATACAGCTGCTTCAGTACTTAAACTGGTTTGATTATCTCAAACCACCTCCTGAGGTGGTTTAGCATTGAAATTGTCCACATGTAAACTGGTTTATATCTAAACCAGTTTCAAACCGCTTTGAGGGCATAGTGTAAACAGGGCTAATTTATTGAAATTGTCCACAGTAAACTGGCTTATCTCTAAACTGGTTTCAAACTGCTTTGAGGGCATAGTGTAAACAGGGCTTTAAATTGTGGGTCAAAAATTTGTAGAGTTTTGTTATCATTATTATTGTTATGCGGTTTCTGTTGATGTAAGTTTCTAATTAAAGCCCACTCTCGGTTGTGTTATTATGTTATGATTATTGAGTTAGGAAATAAAGAAGTGATTCATTGCACACAATGCAGCGTATCGTTTACAATATAATCTGAAGACCATGCTCATGTTTTTCACCGAAATGATCGAAAGATTTCATTGCATTTTTGATGCGTATTGTCGAATAGTTTTATAGTTGAGCTCTTTGCTCAAGTATGAAAGAAGTTTTTTTTATTTTTGAATACTTTGTTTACCTTTGTGATGTTTATTTTTGTGGATTTTCAGTTTATTCTGTTGACACTTGACTCTTTTCGCTATAATTCTTGTATATGAATATACATGTAGCTTGACATGTGAATTAACTCTAATTAAACAACTTTTAAAATTCATAATAAATCCAAATTTGATCAGAATCAGCTCAAACTTTCTACACAACATAAGTACATGTATATGTATTGAAAAAAATTATAAAAATTAAGAATTCTCTCCTTTTCATTTTTGGCAAAATTTGACCGATGACCCTGTACTATAGTACAGGGACTTTGACCAGATTTTAGAGCAACTTTAAAAAGTCATGAAAAATCCAAATTTGATTGGAATCAGCTCAAACTTTCTATACAACATAGGAACATTTATATGCATCAGAAAAAATTATAAAAATGAAGAATGCTCTCCTTTTAATTTTTGGCAAAATTTGGCCGATGACCCTGTACTATAGTACAGGGACTTTCGCCGGATTTTAGAGCAACTTTAAAAATTCATAAAAAATCCAAAATTGATCGGAATCAGCTCAAACTTTCTACACAACATAAGTACATGTATATGTATTGAAAAAAATATTAAAATGAAGAATTCTCTCCTTTTCATTTTTGGCAAAATTTGGCCAATGACCCTGTACTATAGTACAGGGACTTTCGCCGAATTTTAGAGCAACTTTAAAAATTCATAAAAAATTCAAATTTGATCGGAATCAGCTCAAACTTTCTACACAACATAAGTACATGTATATGTATTGAAAAAAATTATAAAAATGAAGAATTCTCTCCTTTTCATTTTTGGCAAAATTTGGCTGATGACCCTGTACTATAGTACAGGGACTTTCGCCGGATTTTAGAGCAACTTTAAAAATTCATAAAAAATTCAAATTTGATTGGAATCAGCTCAAACTTTCTACACAACATAAGTACATGTATATGTATTGAAAAAATTATAAAAATGAAGAATTCTCTCCTTTTCATTTTTGGCAAAATTTGGCTGAAGACCCTGTACTATACTTTGGGCCGATTTTGGATTAACTTTAAAAATTCATTAAAAAATCCAAACTTGATCAGAATACAACATCAATACATGTATATGTTTTGAAAAAAATTAAAAATTTTCCTTGACATTTTTGACAAAGGTTTGGCCTAAGACTATGTACATACATGCAAGAACATACATGCTTGGTCTTTGGCCCGATTTTTGACTTTGACATTCCACTGACAAGATAAATATTAGTTGTAGGCGTATTATCAAACTTGAAGCCACCCTAGCTGTATACAATACTTACTATCTATTATACAATATTGTCCCATTACTATTCACAGGACTAATGAAGAAGAGATTTATAGCTGGTAAGATAGGCCTGGCCGATCTTGTCACGACAGAAGAGGGCCGGGAGAGGTTTCGTAAAAGCGTTTCCTCTCCTACTGTTGTGTACGACGAAGACACAAAAGATGTAAAGCTCCTTGGGTCATCGACATCGATCTCACTAGTACTAGCTGCACTCACCACAATGGGAAGAAACATGTTTGTATTGCAAGGTATGTGTACATGCTACTATAGTGTGACACATTAGGAAAATTTTTTGAGCCAATAGATGTACATGTAATAGAATTCATAAAGTCTTAAATATTAGTCAATTCATGGTAAACATTTCATGGTAATACCCATTGTGGGTGTATTGGGTATTGAGGGTAATCCTATCATCTTGTTTTTATCATTTAACTTTATTCATTCTCAATTTGTGTCACATTACATATACAGTGGTTATAAGCTTTCACTCTCTCTCTCTCTCTCTCTCTCTCTCTTTCTTTCTCTCTTTTTCTTTAAAAGGTGGTTTGAATGCATTTGGTCCATTGCACCCTAGCTTATGTGAAATGGCTGTCCCTGTCCCTCACTTTCGTAATTCTCTCCCTCCTCCACCAAGAGCATCAACACCAGGTAATGGAAAACAATTATTGATTCCTATTCCTACAGTATAGTAACAGTCACTAGCTTTATATTAGTTACATGTTTTATTTTATTATGTATTTCCTTTTATTATCTGTTTCCTTGTAGGTATGAGAGATCAAGCATTGGACTGGCACACTGCACCTCCAGTCAATGTCCTCTCTTTTCTTGTATTGGGGAGTGAGAAGGATGCTAGAAGCAAACTGGTACAGCCTGGTTACATGTACATGTCTGATCAGTATTAAATCAACTACTGGGGGAATGGGCCTATGACTATGATGTCATTATTATGATATCTCTTTTGGTACTATTAATAACTCAATATATTTTACATGTATATGTACATGCATATCCTGTTCATGTTAATGCTTTGGCAATGAGCAATGAAAGTGTTTGTACATTCTTTGAATGTTTGTATTTTTTCTCTATTAAACACTTTTTAAGAGCTGCTCCTTTGTTTCTACAGGTATTTGATTGGTTTAATATCACGTACGTCCTTAACGTCACCCCTACCTGTCCCAATAATTTTGAAGGAGCTGGCGTGGTTTACAAGAGAATACCAGTCAGTGACACAGGGACTCAGAAACTATCCAATAAGTTTACAGAAGCATTTGAATATATTGGTAAGAAGGGAAATTAGGGGAGGGATTGAGGAAGAGGGAATTGTCAAGGAGACAGCAATCTCATTGTTTATATAAGTTAATATATTATTAATTTAATTAGCTAACAGCTTTGTTAAAGAACTATTGTTACATTAGGAGTAGTCTTAAATTACTCAAGTGGTATATGTTTTGTTTTTGTCTTTTTCTGGCAGCCTTACTAGATCATATTCTCTGATTAGCAGTGAGCCCCCACTGATGGTGGCCTGTGAAAGAGCTTCCCTTCAAAGTGAAGTGAATGACAGTCTATTACTGATTCATATCTATAGAGTCATTCCCATAGTGACTGAGCCAATGACCTTTGAAGGGATTCTGCCACAGCATTCCTTTGATATTGTGTACTTGTAGATATTACAAAGTCACCACATTGCCCACCTCTCTTGAGGTAACACTCTGAGAGACCACCTGTTCCTATGATGTCTCTCTCCTTATCTAAATCTTGAAAATTGTTGATTGTTGCGGACAAATAGACTTTTAGTTCAATAGAAATTATTATTAACAATATGTCAGCATCAGACTACAGTACTTGTACGGGTATAGCTACATGTATATAACCTCCTCCTGCTTTAGTGCCTGTTTCTGGTTGATTGTATTGTGCTTCCCTTTTTGTTCTGTGGTCATGACTCCTTATTTCATTTCTATCCATGTACATCTACCTGCACTATCCATCTGCTTATCATTGGTTGGGTTTGTTATGGTGTGTGGACTCCTTTTTTGCAAAGTGTCATTATTAGATTTTAAGATTTATCAAGATTGTGAGTAATTAGTGACACAAGTTTATGAACTCTCGTAACATAGTAAACATTTAGTTAGTCTTTCAATAACTCCCAACCAATTCTCTCATCTCTCTCTCTCTCTCTCTCTCTCTCTCTCTCTCTCTCTCTC